CTGAGAGCTCAACCGAGCTTGGGAAGGAGTGGAACAAGAGATGTTTAGCCTACAGGAAAGTGTGGTTCTGATACCAGATGTTAGAATTTCAATGGTTACTCTCATTGAGAAGAGAATGGCACTCAGAGTGGGACAATTTTCTGGTTTTCTTCATTCACAAACTCAAAAGCCATACCTACCTGAGGGAGGTTGGATACATATATATAGCCATAGCTGGCTGCTAGCCTATTGTTGCACCCTCCTAGTCTAAAATTCAAAATTTGAATGGGATGCTGTCCTAGAGGGCATCCAAACTGAATAAAGCATAAAGGAGGCATAAAGGAGATGCTAACTGCTACTGTCCTACTAACCGCAGCTGTCCTAGCAACTGAAAAATATGCTAAAGGGGTAGATGCTATCCTAAAAAGGTGAAACTATCCAAAAGCAAAAAGAAGAATCACGACCAAGGACCACAAAGACTTATCCATCACTGAACAGATGGTTCCTCAGGCATGTCAAGAGATATTATGTGCCACCCCTCCTCATTGCTTGTTATAGGAACATTCCTGAAATCGTGATGTGCTCTCTGCTGAAAAAGTTGTCCAATATCGTCCATGAGGTCATTGTAGTTCTGACTGGACAAATCAACCACGTTGATGTTGAGAACTGGTATTTCCTGCAAGAAGAAGGATCCATCCAGTGCATGAGCAACTGTAAGGATATTCAGTTTCTGCACTTGCACTTGTTCAAAAGTCAAAACAATGTCATTTCATTTCAATTAATACTTCAATCTTTATGTGCACTTTGGGAAAATGTGATACAGTTTAGCTACAGTGAATAGAACCAGAAATTGTTTCACAACAAAATATTGCAGAACTGGCTGGCTCCCCAAGAGGTTGGCCTGTGCAGCAATTCTTTCGGTCTACAATTAAATAGAAAGCAGGGCTCTTGCCTTTCTTAAGAAGAAAAAAAAAGTGCATACGTCAATAGAAGACACAGAGTATCATTCACATGTGCTACTTATCATCTGTTTTATTCTCAGTGATGTATCTAAACTTATTTTTTGTTTTGGAGATTCTCGGAACAATGAATCATGCAACTTCATTTAGTTTTAGCAAAGGATTTCATGTTGAGCTGCACATTTGGATATGTTAAGGGCTTGTTCGCTTAGTTCATATGACGAAGAGATTGGAGAGGATTGAGAGGGTATTAAACTATTAATTCCACACTCAATAGGTTTGTGGAATTAATCATCTCCAAATCTCCTTTAATTCCCATGGGGAGGGATTGACCGAGCTAGCAAGTTAAGAAAACTATGGATTAATTTTCTTTTCCAAAAAACAAATTTTACTTACAATTTTTAGTAACATAAAGTCTCTAATTATTATTCTCATCATGATATTTTAAGACAAATACGCTTGTTATAGCATGGAAAATGCTAAAGTACACGTATTAAACACCATTTAACACATTTGCTCTCGATAAAAGAAGTTAACAAGGTTACATACTTCCATTTTGAGAAATGCCCAGGAGTCTTCCGGCTAGCTCCACAAGGTGGTGGGCTAGACGACCTGGGTACAAAGCCTCACCCCTCCTAATTATTTGATATTAGGTCCTTCCCTAATATTCTAGTTTTTTTTTTTACATACTTCCATTCTGAGCAGCTTAGACGCGTCCTCTCTTCACCTGCAAAATAGAGTCATTTGTGATTCAAATGAACATTTTTAAGCAAACAAATGGTACATTTTTTTAAAAAAAGAGTAATAGTGATGTTATTTATTTCTTTATCTTTATATATCATGTATCTTTATGCAAACCAATAAATAAATCAAGCGAACTTCGCTGGTTTTAACAAACCGGTTGGTCTTTCCTGATAAGTAGGGATAGGAGAGTGTCCTATGCTGAAAAATGGACTCCTTCATCAGTTTTGAAGGACGGTTTTGCTAATATGGTGATGTTGACATGATCTTTATCCCATGTAGCGCTTATGTGATATTAGAATTAAAAAATATATGTGAGATTCATTTGTCATTCACATACAAAAATATATATTGTGGGACTCACTGACATATGGGGCCCACGTATCATCATCTCTCTCTCAAACCCTTCTTCCACCTCCCTCTCTCCCTTATCTCTCTATTTTCTTTCCCCCTTCGGTCTTGGCGATGACAGGCAGGACGACGCTGGCGAGCGGACGAGGGCCAAAGCAGCGGCGGCGGGGAGCTGATTCCCATCCCTTTCCTTGGCTTCCCAGAAACCCTAATCCATGCGCCGCATTTCGCCTCTCCCTGCGCAAGACCGCATCACATGCCGCCGACATCTACTCACATTGCTCATAGATTACTGCCCGCGCTAGCCATGGGACATGTCGGGAACTCAAGGTTGGCTGCACTCGAGGGCGGGGAACGGGTAATCCGTGCGCTAGAGCTGGCGCCACACCTAGGTCGTCCTGCAAAAAGGAGGGGAGCACAAGCACCAAGAGAGGAGAAGCACCACCGTCCAAAGAAATGGGATGATCGGTCGCAATCCAGAGAGGAAGTGGTCAGAGGCACCGGTGGTGGTGGCAGAGGAGGAGGGGGATCCACCTGTGGCGGAGGAAGAAGACGAGGAAGAAGGCGTCGACTTCATCAGTGACCTCCCAGACGCCATCCTCGGCGAGATCATTGTCCGTCTCCCCACCAAAGAAGCCAACAGCACCCAAGTCCTCGCCGCTCTAATGCTCCACACCGCTCAACCTCGGCTGTTGTCATCCCCGCGCGAGAAAGGATGCCCTCGCTGGCTCCGTTTCCGCATCCCTAGCTAGACCCAGCCGATGATCTCCAAGAACGACTCTGCGTGCGACGAATCCTCGCCGTCCAGCTGCCCCTCCTCCATTGAATATATTTTGATACAAATGTTTGTTCTGTATTGAAAATACTATTATATTTTGCTATAAGCTTGGTCAAACTTAAGATAAATTTAACTAAGAAAAAAGTCAAACGACTTATAATATGAAACGGAGGGAGTATTTGAACTAGAAGTTTCCTATGCAGTACGGTAATGCTTAAACATAATAAATTAAGGAAAAAGTACGAATTACCCCCCCCCCCCCCGAACTATCGCGGTCGTCTGAATTACCCCCCTGAACCACAAAACCGGACATTCTTCACCCCGAACTATGCAAACCGGACGAATTACCCCCCTCGACCTAATCCGCGGTGGTTTTGGTCTACGTGGCATACGCGTGGCAGTCCAGTCAGCATTTTATTTATTAAAAAAATGTGGGACCCACCTGTCATACTCCCATCCAACTATTCCTCTCTCTCTTATCTCTCTCTCTCTCTTCTCTCACTCTCTTCTCACTCACGCGCATGGAGGCAGGCGGGCAACAGGGAGCGGCGGCGGTGGAGGCGAGCGGCGGGGGATGAGGCGGCAAGCGGCGGAGGGGTGCGGCGGAGGAGGTGAGGCGAGGCGGCAACGGCGGAGGAGGAGGCGAGCGGCGGCGGGAGCTCGCGCTGCTCGAGGCGAGGCGAGGCGAGGCGGCGGCGGAGGAGGCGAGCAGCGGCGGGGTGCGGCGGAGGAGGCGAGCGCGGCGGCGGGGTGCGGCGAAGGAGACGACCGGCGGCAGGGGCAGCGGAGGAGGCGAGCGCGGCGGCGTCGCGGGCCACGTGGAGCCGCCTCGCCTCGACGAGCGCCGCCACGACCATGGCGAGGCAGGCCGTCGCCGGTGAGGCGCCTCGTGAGCGGCACCACCAGGCGGGCGTCGCGAGCCACGCGGAGCCACCTCGCCTCGACGAGCGCCGCCGCGACCATGCCGAGACAGGCCGTCGCCGGGGAGGCGCCTCGTGAGCGGCACCACCAGGCGGTCTCGCCCTGCCTCGCCGCCGCCGCCGCCGCCTCGCCTCACCGCCCCCGCCGCTCGCCTCGCCGCCGCGCTCGCCTCTCCACCCCCTCGCCTCCTCCGCCGCCGCCTCGTCTCGCCGCCGCGCCGCCTCACCGCGCTCCTGCCATGCCGCCGTCGTCTAAAGGAGAAGAGAGAGAGAGAGAATGAGAGATATAAGAGATAGAAGAGAGAGATAAACTGACAGGTGGGGCCCACCTATTTTTTAATAAATAAATTGCTGACTGGACCACCACGTAGACCAAAACCACCGCGGATTGGGTCGAGGGGGGTAATTTGTCCGGTTTACATAGTTCGGGGTGAAAAATGTCCGGTTTTGTGGTTCAGGGGGGCAATTCAGACGACCGCTATAGTTCGGGGGGGGGGTAATTCGTACTTTTTCCATAAATTAACAATGTGCACTAATGAGATACTCTCTTATTCATGAAATATCTCCGCTCGTGCTCGCATGCATTCCCGCCCTGCTCACCGGCCTCCCTATCTCCTTCCTTTCCGCCGCTAAGCTCGTCGTCGCGCTGGTCGCCACCTTTCCTCCTCTCTAGCCGTCGCCGTTGAGCCGACCGCCTCTCTCCCCCTCCCCGCCGCGGCGCCATCTGGCAGCAAACCACCAGCCCGCTGCCACTCCGCCCGCCGCCTGTGACCGCCTTCCGCCCGTTGTCGCGCTCGCCCGTCGCCGCTCTACCGCTGCCCCCTACCTTCTTCGCCTTCCGCTCGCTTCCGACGAAGGGGCGGAGCACGAAGAGGACGGGGTTGCTCTACCCGCCCGCTGCCCACCCATCGCCGCTCCGCCCGCTGGCCTCCCTCATTGAAGAGAAGAGAAGAGAGAAAATAGAAGAGAAGAAGAAGAAAAGAGATAAAAAAATGTGCAGCTGACATGTGGGCCCCACATACTTTTTTTTTAATTTTTTGCTGACTAGGATGTCACGTCAGCGAAACCACCCATATATACTGTCATGAGATCTTAAGTGCACGGTTTGTGTGAGTTTAGGTGTACACATTTCTGATTTTGTGGTTATGTAACCTCGAAAAATTTCGCTGTTAAGTTGAGGGACGTCCGGTGTGAACTTATTACCAATTCCTCGTTCCGAGAAACTTCAGGGCCGGATGGCGGCAGCGGTGGGGCAGGAGGAGGAGTCGATCGATGAGGCCACGTGATGGCAGCGAGGAGGAAGAGCTGCTCAACAAGCTCTCCCGCTATTGCCGCTACTGGACGGATCTGTGGTCCGACGATTCCAGCGACATCGCCAAAAGAAGTGAGGAAGCTTCTTTTTTTTTTTTGTTTTAGAGATGATTTTATGGTAAATACGAATTCGCTCATGCTCTTGTTAGGTTTTTAGTTTTCATCTCAAATCGACATGTTCGCTCGCTGATTATGGTAGGCGGGAGCCTGGGCGCACAATAGTGGGGATGGAAACATGAAAATGGAAAATGTTGGGATTGACATTTTTCACATGGATATGCATCAATGTGATCTAATGGCTCCTCTCTTTGGTAGTATGTTGCAAAGGAAAAAGAAACAATAATGCTTGACTGATTGATGCGGTTTATTGGATGGATGCAGCTGAGATTGGTCCCATGCGGTACACGGAGGAACCGCCCCGGTTCGCGATGCTCCTAGATTTACTAGAGGTTTTTTCTTTCGAGGTGACGGAGCTTACAGGTATTCTACGCTGGCCAATTGATGTGTTTGGTCTCATCTCCGTTCGTGACTCTCTGGATCGGAACCGCAACTATATCTTTGAGCGCACCAGGAACAACTGCCAGACTCTCACTGCAAAGGTATCTCCATGCTTCATGGAAATAGCAGCACAAAGTCATCAGACTTTTCTACAGGCAGCTAGTTAGTTTTGCAACTTCACATTTGTGGTGCACTAGTGCAGTAGTTCTTCTTTACCTAATTATAATAGCAGCGCAATCATGAGATGTCTGGCATAGTTCTGTTGAGAAAATTGGATGTGTCTGAACTAGTTGTACCTTTGGTGCATCATTTAGTTTACTTAAACAAATTAGAACAGTCCAAACTTATATGCACATCACGGTTCCATTTCACAAATTATATATGATAGTCTGATATACTAGTTGTATCACAGAAGCTTATCAGTAAACAACCTGAAATATTCAAATGTGCATGATTTAGTATCCTGTGATGGCATTTCTTTTTTACGAACGGCAAAAATAAAACCTGTGATAGCATAATCAAGCAATTTTCCAATCTAAAACACCCCTACACACCAGAGATTAACATATTTTCATGATGCATAAGGGGCATCACAAACATGTGGGTTGTTAACAGAAATAACTACAGAAACAATTGGTGCACAGGCGCAGAATTGATACTACAAAAATAAAATGCTACCAAGTCAATTGATAGAACATGCAGGGGTACTTCCCACGCTCTTATTTAATTCATTGCAGCTAGCATTTTCCCTATATGAACTTGCAGAGGCTATCTTTTCTAGCAAGAGCTATGCTCCTTGCTCCTTGCTTCGGCTTGTCTGCATTCTTTTCCAACCATTCCAGTAAAGATGAAGTTGTCAATACATATATCAGATATTTATCGTACATCATATACTGATATGCAGATTTTGCTATGCGGTATCATTTTATTATTGAGAAAAGGGAAAATAGAAAATCCAATTTCAGTTATGCATAGCATGTCGTCAGGCTCACATATGTTATCTTTACCTAATTATCCTCTTGTTTATATTTTGTTTTGACAGTTCAAATGCCCCATTCATATTATTTTGTTGAGTGGAACTTAGAACACATACGGGATAGAATTATGCATGTTTGTTCACCATCAATCTAGCTAGTTTCACCTTATCCCAAAAAAAAAGGGAAATATTTGTTGTGTTACATTGTTGCTACCATTCCTTTCTAATTGTTTTCATACAGGGTTCTTAAGTGGTGGATAGTGTATCATCAATATTCTTATACTCTCTACATCGATCCCATAATATAAGGCTTGGTCAAACTTGGCACGATCTCCAAAACTGATCTTCGGATTATATTCTCATATACTATAAGGTTTATAGCAAAAAAAAATTATAATCATATGAAAGTAGATTCAAATGTCAATCTAATGATAATATTTTCAGAAAATAAAATTCAATTCATACCATAGTAATTATTGATTAAATGTTTTAAAAGTTGAATCTTAAAATACGTGCACACCTTATATTATGGGATGGAGGAAGTATTTAGTAATGTCATGGATGCGTGTAGGGTTCATCTCTGGTTCTCACAGGTCCAAGCCGTGCAATCCTATTGATGGACCCTACTGAATTTGAAATTGAGCTAAGAGTCAAGGGGACAAGTCCCTCCGAAGATAAGATCTTGAGCGCTGAAGCATTTGGGTATAATGGAACTGCTCAGAGACATAGATGTGGCTCACTGCGCAGTATGATGTTATCAGGAGCACGCAGCACATTGGAGTTCAATTATGCACACATTCCTGTGGCATTGGAGGCTACAATCAGTGTCAGGATTACAGGAGGTTTAACTGGTTTCTGTGGAAAGTTCATTGCACATACTGCTAGTATCAAGGAAGATGTCATATTGCTGGACTCTGGGGAAGAAATGGTGGCTATCTCCCATGATGGAGCCATTGATTTCTGCCGCAGTGTAGTTGCATTGGAAGGAAATGGCGGAGTTCTGACTGTTAGTGTTCATGCAAGGCAGAGTGGTGATGAGAATATCATATGTGCTTATAAACATTTTATCCCGGTAAGATGTGGACGGAATCATGACACACTTGATGTTGGGTTTTGCCAGATGAGCGTTGAAGTTGCTTGGTTGCTCATTTTTTAGTATTGAAAAAAAATCTAGGCCATGACAATACTTAATATTCGGTATTAGTAGTGGAAGTAATAGATGTGCTATGTGGCATTGTAATATACTAATACTAGAAGATAATCCGCGTTGCTGTGGGACATAGTGCATAAGACAAAACAAAGTGAAATTCTATGGGAACATTTGATCCATTGCAATTAGACATAGTGCATAGGAAAAACATTTAAGTGAAATTTAAAGAAAACATTTCATCATCACATTTAACATGCTTCATTGGTTGAATAGATCCAAGTATTTTCGAACAAACCTTAATATACTTCTCATTTGATTGACCATAGAAAAATGAATTTTCTTGACTACAAATTTTGTAATCCATCACATTTAATATACTTCATTGGTTGAATATACCCAGTTTTTTTTCCCAACAGAACACTCTTATTTGATCGACTATAGAAACTGAATTTTTATTGACTATAAATTTTAGAAATAGCTACAGGAACTTACCTTCTGAGGTGATCATGAAAGTTAAGTAATATGTGATAAAAAGGAATGAAAAGGTGTAAGGAGCACTGTTCATTGTGCTATGGTATAAATTAAATACGGGTCAGTTGTACAATTATTTTCAGCTCGATATGTAGAGATGGCATTACATTATTTGATTGAAATAAATAAAACTGTAGTAGGAAATAAGCTAATTTATGGTGTACAACCTGAAAATTTCTAGAAATTAATCATTCTCACCGAAGAAATTAAATTTCTATTCTGAATCATAACATATCTGTAATATGAATTAAAGTAGAAACGAGTGACCAAAATTTACATTTGGAATTAGGTGAGAGCATGTAGCATAAAATCCATCGGTAAATAAGTATATGATCTTCATCTAACAAGAAAGGGAGGGGGAAACGTGATATTAAATATTGGCTGGCAGAGTGAAGACGAACACCTGATGCATTAAGCTGAGTTCTTTGCGTGCTAAACAATGTGTGTTTTTAAAAGTTTTCTATACGAAAGTTGCTTTAAAAAATCATATTAATCTTTTTTAAAAAAATATCTAATATTTAATTAATCATACGCTAATAATAAGTTGCTCCATCTTACGTGCGTGAAAGATTAGTTCTCAACTCAGGAAACTGAACACAGCCTTTAGGGGAAAAAAATGTGTACAACCAATAATGAATTCATCCAAAAGCCACTTGTTTTAACTTGGTAAACCAATAAACTCAACGTGGGAGAGTGAGGGAAAAGAATAATGTACCTGATCCAGCTTAAGGTTTGTTGGGGAACATAAAAAATGGTGCAGACCAGGAAGACAGGAAATGAATTGGCTAGTGCGTGAGATGAAACAACGTTGCCGGAGTATGGATTAGCTGTGGCCGTTTGCGCCCAATAATCCCTAATAATATCAGCTAATCCATCTATTTTGTTATCAAAAGAACATATTAGCCAGTGTGCCGCAACAATTAGTTACATAGAAAATGGGAATGCCGGTAGTCATTTCCTACTAAAAGATTGAAGCTGCATCGAAAAAAGCCACCAGAGCTGCAGATAGAAGTCACCAATCCTGATAATCACCAAGCACGATGGATAACAATTATATACACTCACAATACCCGTGATGGGTATAGCACAGGGATTTAAATGCGTTATCACGGTGCCCATAAGGAGAAGTTGAGGCGTCTGCGGCGATTTCCTGATTTTCCACGCACGAAGAAAGGCGAAGGCCACTGGCCCACTGAGAAGCTGAACGGTCGGACGAGGAATCGTCGTGAAGGTAGGGGAATCGGGCTAGGGAGATTATCAAGTAAGATTATTTTGCCCGTTTATCCTACTTCTATTTTATTTTTTCTTTCTAATTTTCACTGTTATGCGAGGAATAAACTAGTAAATAAGTTTTTATGCGGGTAATGGGATTGCCCATTTGCATCCCCTAGTGCGCGGGCGTGAGCAGTGCTATGCGCTCGAGGAAAATGATCGATTCCCCCTATCCTGTAGAGGATAGCGACCACGAGGGGCAGGATGGGATGGGATGAGCTATTCAGGCTGTCACATGTGGATGTGATAATGTGGGTCGTATTTTCCCTAGTATGATTCACTCCATCAAAGTTGCTTCAGCATTGGTACATCGCAGCTTCGGCGTTCGTACGATAGGAGATATGGAGGACATTTGATCAAACCGTTGTGCATAAAATGGATGACATGGCTTAACCATAGATCAGAAAGTTGATAATATTACTACTCTAAGTGAAGATCACTTGTATAGATTTATAGGATGCCAGTTAGTACTGAATTTGGACCGGAGGCCTCACGGCCTAGCTTATTATTTATTTGATCAATCAAATTATAAACTTGCTACTACTATTCACCTATTTGTAAGTAGTAACCATGCCATCACAATTCATTAGAAATATGAGATATGTCGTTCCCTATACTGTAAACGTCATTGGACACATGTATATGCCACTATATTTTTATAACCCAAAATGCCCCTATGTACATTTATGTGGGCCTCATGTGTCATAACCTTTATCAATCTTCGAGCGAGGAGTAACCTTGCTGGCGATGTCATCGGTCTACTCCTTAGCATGTGACTCTCATAGCTTGTCGTACACCGTTCGCAGCTGGTTTTCTTTCATGATTCAGAGGCGAGTGAGCAATCAAACTGCGTCGCAACAAAAGCTGGAGAACTGAAAAAAATGAGGGAAATCGGCAAATGGTAGCGTGACATAAGAACATGGGGTTAGAAAAGAAGAGCCGCCACTGCCACCGTTGGGGACGACTACCGCCATCGAGCGTCCATCATGCGCTTATCATCGACAGTTTCTTCTCGTTTCTGTCTCGTACGTGCATGGGTCGATGATGACCAGATCTGCTCCTATCCCTGACCACCACCCAGATCTGTCTCGTCTCTGTTCTTGCCTTCGCTAGCCAGATCTAACGCACTCAAAAATGATAAAAAGAAAAATAAAAATAGCATGATAACGCTAGAAGGAGCATATGGTGCATATGATTAGAAGAATACACTGCGTTGAATGAACGGCAATAAACATCTCTACTACTTTTAAAAAAAAAAGGAGAGAGAGAATCGCTCAATTTCTATCCCTCTGTCTTTACTTCTCTCTCCATCTCCCACTTGCACGTAAAAATCTCTCAAAAACCAACAACCTCAAAAAAAAAAAAAAAAAACCAACTGGCCAAATTCCGGTTGCAACGCACGCATTTCCACAGTGCTTTTTATTGGGCTCTCCTAGCCCGGCCCAAGTGAGCCCAAATATAAATCCTCTACCCAAAAAGACTCCTCGCTCCGAAAAACTTCAGGCTAGGGCCAAGCCGGAGCGGAGGGATGGCGGCGGCGGCGAAGCCGGAGGCGGGGGAGGGGGAGGCGACGAATTGCCACAGGAGATCGGCGGCGGGGCAGGAGGAGGAGGAGGAGGAGTCGAAGAGGCCACGCGATGGCAACGATGAGGAGGAAGAGCTGCTCACCGAGCTCTCCCGCTACCGCCGCTACTGGACGGATCTTTGGTCCGACGATTCCGGCGACATTGACAGAAGAAGTGAGGAAGCATTCTTTTTTTTTTCTTTCTCAATTAGCCGCTAGCTAGCGTTGGGGATTTTTTTAGATGATTTTATGGTAAATACGTGCCAGACCCTTGTCGAATTCGCTCATTCCCTGGTTAGGTTTTAGGTTTCATATGAAAATCTGAAATCAACTGGTTGGCGCGCCGAATTCGCTCATGCTCATGTTAGGTTTTTAGTTTTCATCTCTAATCAACAGGTTCACGTGCCGATTAGGATTATGGTAGAAATGGAAAAATGAAAATAACATGTTGGGATTGGCATTCTTTACATAGATATCTATCAATATGATCTAATGGCTCATCTCTTTGATATATCTATTCTGATGCTTGACTGATTGATGTGGTTTATTGGATGGATGCAGCTGAGATTGGTCCCATGCGGTACACGGAGGAATCGCCCCGGTTCGCAATGCTCCTGGATTTACTTGAGGTTTTTTCTTTTGAGGTGACCGAGCTGAAAGGTATTCTACGCTGGCCAATAGATGTGTTTGGTCTCATCTCCGTTCGTGACTCTCTGGACCGGAACCGCAACTATATCTTTGAGCGCACCAGGAACAACTGCCAGACTCTCACTGCAAAGGTACCTCTATGCTTCATGGAAATAACAGTGCATAGTCATCAGTAAACAACCTGAAATATTCAAATGTGCATGGTTTAGAATCCTGTGATGGCTTTTCTTTTTGACCAACAGCAAAAAATAAAACCTGTGATAACATAATCAAGCAATTTTCCAAATCTCAAACTCCCCTACACATCAGAGCTTAACATATTTTCATGATGCATAAGGGGCATCACAAACATATGTGGGTTGCTAACAGAAATAACTACAGAAACTTTTGGTGCACAGGTGCAGAATTGATACTACAAAAATAAAAGGCTACCAAATCAATTGATAGCACATGCAGGGATACTTCCCCACTCTTATTGAATTTATAGCAACTACTCCCTCCGTTTCACAATGTAAGTCATTCTAGCATTTCCCACATTCATATTGATGTTAATGAATCTAGACATATATATGTGCCTAGATTCATTAGCATCTATATAAATGTGGGCAATGCTAGAATGACTTACATTGTGAAACGGAGGAAGTAGCATTTTCCCCCCTATGAACTTGCAGGGGCTATCTTTAGCAAGGGCTATGTTCCTTGGTCCTTGCTTCAGCTTGTTGCGAACCATTCCAGTAGGATATTTAACAGACCCCTCATGAGTATGTGAATGGTAAAAGTGAGAATCAATCGGTAGTACAAATGTCCTAACTGCAGCAAGACGAATCATGCATGGATTCATCTCCTTGCAATACAGCTTGAGCCTAAGGGAAAACATTTTGCAAATATTTAGGGGTAGTAACATTTTGCAAATATTTAGGGGTAGTAACATTTTGCAGACATATAATATTTGTTATCTCATAGCCATCATCTTTGGTTTTTATCATAATAGTCATCATGTTTTAATGGGATTATTGACCATTATTCATGCCAATCCAAGAGTTTAAGGAGATGTAATGGCAATCCACAATTGACAATACAAAGCAAAATTCTTTGAGATGTTTTAGAGTAGAGAGTAAAAAGGGCAGCATCAAGAGTACAATTTGCCCAACAATTAACTACATTTTGTTGTGATACTTTGACATACTATGAAGATTCTATATGAAAAGCTCATGCAAAAAATGCTAATGAATAATGGTTGTGTTAATACTACAGTTCTGCGATAACAGGGTATTATTGATTTGCAAGTGCTGGTCATTAAAGATTCAGGCAGTAAAGATGAAGTTGTCAATACATATATCAGATATTTATCGTATACTGTATACTTATATGCATATTTTGCTATACAGTATCATTTTATTGTTGGGCAAAGGGAAAATAGAAAATCCAAGTTCAGTTATGCATAGCATGTCGTCAGTCTCACATATGTTTTCTTTTCCTAATTATGCTCCTGTTTATATTTTGTTTTGACAGTTCAATGCCCCATTCATATTATTGTGTTGAGTGGAACTTAGAACACATATGTGATAGAATTATGCATGTTTGTTCACCATCAATCTAGCTAATTTCACCTTATCCAAAAAAAAAATGGAAATATTTGCTGTGTTACATTGTTGCTACCATTCCTTATATTTAGTAATGTCACGGGTGTATGTAGGATTCATCTCTGGTTCTTACTGGTCCAAGCCGTGCAATCCTATTGATGGACCCTATTGAATTTGAAATTGAGCTAAGAGTCAAGGGGACAAGTCCCTCCGAAGATAAGATCTTGAGCGCTGAAGCATTTGGGTATAATGGCACCGCTCAGAGACACAGATGTGGCTCACTCCGCAGTATGTTGTTATCAGGAGCACGCAGCACATTGGAGTTCAAGTATGCTCACATTCCTGTGGCATTGGAGGCTACAATCAAGGTCAGGATTACAGGAGGTTTAACTGATTTCTGTGGAAAGTTCATTGCACATACTGCTAGTATCAAGGAAGATGTCGTATTGCTGGACTCTGGAGAAGAAATGGTGGCTATCTCCCATGATGGAGCCATTCATTTCTCCCGCAGTGTGGTTGCAGTTGAAGGAAATGGTGTGCTGACTGTTGGTGTTCATGCAAGGCAGAGTGGTGATGAGAATAACAGCTGTGATTACAAGAATTTTATCCCGGTAAGATGTGGACGGAGTCATGACACACTTGATGTTGGATTTTGCCAGATGAGTGTTGAAGTTGCTTGGTCGCTCATGCTTTCATATTGAAAAAACATAGGCCCGATAATATTATATTTTGCCAAGTCTAGGCCCTGATAATTTTGCTTGCTGTGACACAAGCTGTTTGCTCGATGGCATTGTAATATACTGATATGACAATACTTAATATTCGGTGTTAGTAGTTCATTTTTTTAGAGAAGGCTATACGGCCCTGCTTTTTATTGCGTTCTTATAGAAAGCAATATGTCTTTATACATAGATTCAGAGATGCTGGGGCCACCAGCTTGCCAGACACAGCACAGGAAACTGACTGTAAACACACTACCAACTACAGGACGCATAAGCAAGTGCTATAATAGAGAGGAGTATTATCTCTAATTCTATCCATATAATCTACTACTCATAAATAAGAAGCAATATATACAATAGGTCACCTCTAATACACAATACAAATACTAGTACTTCTAATACTATCACACCTAGGGCTTGTTTGGTAAAGCTCCAACTTCTAAATTTAGCTTCAGGAATTGGGTCTGGAGTGGAGCAGCTCCACCTCTCTAGTTCATTTTTTGAGAGTGTTTCACTCAGCTCCACTCCCATTTTAGGTGGAGATGAAGTCATGAAACTGTTTAGCTGAGCTTAGTTTCAAAAGAGGTGGAGCTAGAGCTGTGCCAAACAGACCCCTATTTTGTTACTTCTAATACACACATATCAATACTTCTAATAATACTCTCACACACATATGGAGGTTCTCTTAGTACATGAGAAGGTTGCTCAGCTATATGACACTTAGGGTCATCCAATCCTACGTGACACTCATGTCAAAAAAAATAAATAAATCATACGTGACACTCTTAAAACAGCACATCAAGTATTCCTGTATATCATCACTCAATCGTACGTGACACTCGTGTTAAAAAGAAAATCGTATATGATGCTTTTAAGGACAGTACATCAATTATAGTAGTTGCTCCCAGGCTCCAAACTCCAGAATGCCAGCAAAAGCCAAAAGCAAAACTAAACCACCGGTAACACCGATGTTAGCCTATTCCAGCTCGCGAGGGACGAAGACCGTTGACAGCATCTTGTAATGCCGCCGCCATGGACTCCAGAGTAGCAACGTCATCAGGCTTCAGAAATGATTTCCACTACAACAGTAAGCCAATCAAACGAAAAAAGAATAATTAGAGGTGAGGAAACCATCTTATCCCTGAAGACCATGTCATGTCTAGTTGACCAAAGAATTCCAACATAAAGCAGCTAAAAGAAGGCATCCAACTCTAGATTTTTTAAGCCTGTTTTCCCCAGAACCAAGCAGAAAAAGTCATCAAAATCATGAGGAATTCTACTCTGGCCAAGGGCGTCTCTACAAATACACCAGGCAAATCTAGCAACGGGGCATTTGAAACAAACTAGAAATAACTGCGCGCTTCGCTGCACCCGTCCAATATCAGAGGAGAAATAAATTTAACAGCATATAATTTTTTTATATAGCATGTATTTGGATCATTTACATATTAGAAATGAGCAAGGAGAAACAGTAATTGATGAAATAGAATTGTCTTACAAATTTCATAAATTAAACAGTGCACATGATAAATATCACCAAATGTTAAAGTGTCAACAAATAGTGTTGGTTCTAATATGGGAGCCAAGAGAGGAGTGAGCAGTTGACAGTTAGTGTTGTGACCACAAGATAGAACTGAGAATCACACAACAGAGCATGTTAGTGGAGAATTCTTACAAAATGTGGACATTAAGAATAAAAAAACTAAGAAAAAAAACATATCCTCCGGATTAGTCGTTATCTCACATATGAGGCTCCCCAACTGTTCATACTTGCATTTGTGTTCATGAGCTCGTCCATCTACAAATTGCAAAGGCTAAAGGCATATAGTTGCAAAATAAGAAATAATAGATACATTAGGTGTGGTATGAAGTATTACTATTTATTTTACTGATATATACATATATAAAAAGGATGTGGATTATCTCCTTCAGTACAAAACATATATGACCAAATATTATCAGGCATTTGCACATTTCTAAGAATGTACCTTTACCATGCTAGACAACAGTTTGGGCAAGCTGTTGCCTATATATATATGTATATGATACATATATGATATATCCATCCTGTTATAGCTTATAAGGTAATGGAAATGCTAAACCCAAATGTTATGGCTTGTAGCCAGCAGTCTGATAAAAGAAGAACTCATAGCAGTGTAGCACAGTAGGACTGAGTGCCCTGGTAAGTGATAACAGCAAGAGTAGACTGTTGGCAAGACATTTATAGATTCATGTCCCTCATGACCTCAATTCAGAAAATGAAAAGAAAAGCTATCTATTGAAAGAATGAAGTCACCTAACTAAGCTTTACTTTTTGTATATCTACAAATATCACCTTTTGCCAATATAATTATTACACATTGGGAACCATTACATATACGCAGCACCACGTGATATTCATAAAGAATGAAATTAACAGTGAATTTTAAATTAGAACAGAGTTGACTTCCATTTGGTAAGTAAACTATCCTATATCCAACAAAAAGAATAGTGTCCCACATTCCATAGATACATATTTCATAGGAGCATAGGATGATATATACTTGCATATGTCTTAAAATATGATGGTCTGCAATGTTTTTTGTGAGATTCAGATATAATACAATCCGACTCAACACACCTGTAATAGCAGTGCCAAGGCTCCTTACATGCTGCTGAACCTCACATAGATAAAAAATGGCAAAAGTGAACCTAGAAACAATGGATTGTCACATGTGACAGCAGTAATTGTAAATCATTAATGCTCTCTAAAAGTCTAGGCCTGTAGATTGTACCGATCAGATGAGACTTTTTCATGAAGGCACCTAAATTGTAGTGCTAAAAATGCTTTTTCTTTGGGAATGTATTTCAAACCACCCACGGACCTAGGCGCTACCTAGCTGGCTATCCCAAAAGCTAAATGTAAAGGTTATTCTTCAATTTTAGAAGGCACACTGAATTATATGAACTCAAGCAGTTTGAGTTATTTTTGGCATGCCAACCCTATAGATGCCTCAGAGGAGATGATGATGCAAGCATAAACAACAGATGTACACACTACAGCTGACAGAAAAAAAATGAGGAGGTACTATGAGATCATAAGAAAGCCTGGATAGTAGATGATTTACCCATATTTTTCATAGTGTTGGTTTTACAGTGTTAATTAATGATCACAAGTCGTGCCCCAAATTTCTCCAGGAGGGATGGTTTGATTCCTGGGATTCCTGTACACGAAGAAACCATGTAGATCAAATATGTAATGCTGTCATGCTGTGCTGATACGTTAAACCAAACAATGCAACATTTGGTCTTACCTGCTAACCTCGACGAAAGAAAATAATGAGGAGCAATCAGTGAAAATCTTGCCCTGTCAGCTGTGACTCCTTGTTCTTTATAAGCCAGATGCCTTCCATCAGGAAGTTGAATTGTTTTGGCACTTGGGGGACCTATGTAGAGTTTCTTTGGCAGCTCTACTGGGGTATCATCAACACTCCCTACACCTAATACTGCATACAAAATATTCCTGTTAATCAAGCGATAAAAAATTGATCCCTACATTAAGAAATTGTTTTCTTGGATTTCGCATTTTTCACAAATCAATTGAAGTACATAGTGCATTGACAAAATGATTGTACAATGTGTAGCATGTAAAAGAGGGTAAAGGAGCACTTCTGGGTAGAAATTCTACATGCTAGCATGCATCAAGTTCGCATATAAGCAACCAAGTGCCATAAAACTCAAAAATAAGAGGGCAAAAAGAATCCACCTGGCAAGCAATCTGTTGGCACCAAAATAGTAATATCAATACAGCAAAAAAAAAGCAGCTAGCTTGACTCAATAGTAAAACAATTGACTGACCAATGACCACAATATTAGACTATGGTTGACCTGTCATGAATTTCAAACTGCCCGTAGGCCATGCATTGTACCCCATGGCCATGAAGGCATGAACACAAGCGCACAAGGCATGGATCCCACAATCCAAAAAAAAATCTCCTTGAAATAATTACACGCTTTAACCAATATATATCTAGAGTAGCGTTCACAACAGAAACGCAGCATAAAGAGACAGATTGATTCTAAATCCAAACAAAATTTCAGGGGAAAAAAAGAGCACCAAACGGTTAGTTAGATCCATCCCCTCTAATGACTGAACACTAAACGTGCACGCTCATATCATACATCGTGATGCACGACGGCATAAACCAAACTGCATGCTGAGCTGTAGTCAGAGCCTCACTCGCACGCAAGGAAGAGAAGATCGGGGGAGGGGGGGTGAGAGATCAGCGGGGGATTACCGATGAGCGTGACGAACGCGACGGCGGCGGTGATGACCCAGCACCTGACGGGGTTGCAGTCCTCGGCGAGGTACGCGTTCATGAAGCTGAGGCGCTTCCCCATGGCCACGGCGGGGCCCCTGAGCCGCCGCGCGAGCTCGCTGTCCTCGGCGCCGGCGAGGCTCTGAGCGGTCGGATCCACCGGGGGGAGACCAAACGCCGGATCGACGGCCTGCCAGTGGATTTGGCACTACACCAAGCAGGGTGGAGAAGATGGTGGTGGTGGCTCACGACCCTTTTGTCCGGGCAGCCGGAATCGCCTGCGGAGAGGAGGTGGTCACCGGATTCGATGCCCCTGGTCTCCTCGCTGGTAGATGAAGTGACCTGACTGGGGAGAGAGTCGGGGGCGGTGCAGCGGCGGCGAGAGGAGGGCGAGGAGGCGACGCGCATGAGAGAGGAGAGCGAGGCGGCGCGGGCGAGAGAAGAGAACCGAGCGGCCGAGCCGCGCGAGGTCGCGGGCAGGAGACTGAGGTGGCTAGGGTTCTTGGCAAATCCAGGCCGTCTGTTCCTAATCCAACGATCTCACGATGGTGGAAGAGCAGCCACGCTGGGACACGTGGACGGCCAGATCGTCCCTCGCGCGTGATCGAACGGACCTCAATAGCCTGAACCGGAATGCAATTAACCAAAGATGAGGGGTATTTCTGAAAATATTGATGAGGTGGCGCCCTAATCCTCACCCATTCCCACGGCGTTTAAGTAAAGTAATATGTGGACAGTATCCTCATACACACCACATAGGCACATTCTGGCAAAACTCTGATCCACCCAATAGCACTTTCTCAGCTGAGCAGAAGATTGTATCTTTCCTCTTACAGCAGCCAGCCAGAGAAAATATTTTGTTTTTGCTTAGGAGGGATAGGACAACTCCAAATATCATGCATCCTCACATCATTTACCCCCTTAAAGGGTTAGCATCCTGTAGATTGATTGAGATGAGTACACCCCCTTCTTGTCTAAAGACCCCCACACTATCTTTTCTCTCTCATCACACAGTAATATTGTCAGCCGAATGAGAGCTAATGCAGAACTTGTAATGCTGAACTCCCTACCACATATTCTCCAAACATTGAATACACAACAGACTCAAATCAATTTATCAAAGATGAATAATTAAAATGATAAGCTATATGATTGTCAAAGGCAGGATAAAGAAAATTCAAGTTACTCTTATCGATCTGCAATCAGAGCCATAACCTGCAAATACTTGCACCTTTATCCATATACCAGCAGCTAATTCCAGTTGCTTTTGCAGCTCCAAGGGCTCAGATGGTCTGATGACAGGACTGCCCAATAGATCAGCCTGTAGGTGGGCTGCATATAATAATATACGTTGTCAGCAAACTCTTTATTTGTGTCCCTGAGATACTGGAAGAGATACTAGCAATTGGAAGGCTAGGATTGCAAGTATTCTCTTTTACAAATTGCTAGGAAGGAGAAGAATTCTTTTACCTGAATCTGCATCAGAAGATTATGGACTGTGTATCGCCACCGAACACGCACGTAATCAGAATTTCACTTGTCATGCCTAGAGATGGTAACGGGTGCATACCCATCAGGTTTTCTTACCCCATATCCACACCCTCAATGCACCTGTCGCGGGTACAAACCATCCCCATACCCACACCCGTGCGGGTAATGGGTACTCATACCTATATAATTGACCTGTAACATTTATAATTTTGTACTCTAATTAGCCATATTAGATCTGTAAACCATCAATATTTTTCCTAACAACAATGCTATTAACATTAGCGTTCAAAGGCGAGTAAAAAAACTTTACAATCACATTACATAATCAAGAAATCAAATAATAATTTCATATAACTAGACTAGAACAATGCTTAAGATGCGAAATAAGTTTTATGCTATGATTTAATAGTCGTTGAGACTTATATTACTCATAGTTTTATGCTTAATTTACGGGTTTTTCAACCAAGGGTTGATGGGTACGGGTGGGTAAAGAATGGACCTATACCCACATACTCAATGGGTAAGAGTTCTCGTCCGTTAGTAGACCCATAAATAAAGAGTTAGAACATGATTAGCTTCTAATAAAATAAAAGCTCATAGGGTGTCGGGTCATAGGTCCCATTACCATCTCTAGTCATGCCTCCCCGTCATCGTCGTTGCAGCTCCATTGGCCATTCGCCGGCTTGATGCCCCGATGAGGAATCTGCTGGAATGAGAATGGAAAGAGGAGAAGACCGTACTTGTTGCGGGGAAGACGAGATGCCCGTTTAGAACTCCTCCAATACCCATAAAACGGAGCAAATCCATTTTCACATGATTAATTAAATATTAACTAAATTAAAGTTAAAAATTAAATTAATATATTATTTTAAATTAGTAGAAAAGGTTTTTATAAAAAAATACATCTTTTAATAGTTTGGGAAGTTTTATATGTGAAAAATGAGGGAGTAGAAATTAAAAAGAGTTGGTAAAGAACACACTCATACTACTACACAGCTAGCCGTGCAATGGACAAACGAGACGCCAAGCAACTGCTTAACCAATCGACGAAATACATATTAATTTCTACTCCCAAAAAACAAATGGATGAAATTGAACCGATATAAACAGCCGATATAGGTAAAGAGCATCTCCAAGAGAATCTTGTCCCTAAAAGTTAAATTTTAAGAATTAAGGGTAAAATCAACCCTCCAACAGGTTTCCAAATGAGGCCCCCCAATATTTAGGTACATCTAAAATCCAACCAAATAGTAGCTAGTTTTGGACACCTCCACGCACTCGAGAAAAATCAGTTTAGTAGGGCCAACCAGTGATGACATGACAGATTTTAAAGTTTTTTTAATCAAGTATTGGATATTCTTAGAGATGGAGATGATTTTTGAGCCCGATATCTTTTGGATACTCCCAACTAGGGGTGTAAGTGGCTAACCCGCGAAACCCACTTATAGGCTAAAATAAGCCGTGAGCCCGCTTATTTTGACTTATAAGTGGGTTCGCGGCTGACCCACTTACACCCCTACTCCCAACACAAGTTTTTTAGGAGCCTAAACAACTCTTTGAGATGCTCTTAACGACAGCATCACTCATACGATTTGCTTAGTACGTGGGTTGCAACTTGCGTCTTTCATCATCTTTAAGAGCAACTACTTAGTCATAATGCAATAAAAGCTTTTGATTTTAGCTTAATTATTCCCTATGTTTCATATTATAAGGCCATTCCCAACCCAATGACTAGGATGATGTCCATTGTATTAAATAAGTTTCCACCTAGGATGAAAAATGATGTGGCAAATGAATAAATGAGGAAAGTGAAGGAAACCATATCTTGCATGAGACATAGTTTCTACGTAACATCCCAGACATCAAGTGAGATAAGTAGCATTAAATTAAAGTATGGAATAGTGATGTTTGCAGTGGAAGAGTAGTGTCTAGTACTAGTTTCTTGATGATGTAGAGTTTATGGAAACTATCTCTGGTAATGGCCTAAGTCGCTTTGATATTTTTTTCTAGTTAAATTTTTTTAGTTTTAACCAAATTGATAGAAAATCTAACAACATATATAACTCCAAATTAGTTTTATTAAATAAAATATTAAATATATTTTTAATAATATGTTTATTTTGGGTTAGAAATGTTACTATATTTTTTATAAATTTATTCAAACTTAAAATATAAGAAATATCAAAACAACTTATAATATGAAACAACGAAAGTACCTACTTAGGACGACTTACAACATGGCCAACAATATCTATAAGTGAAACCCAATTCTAAAATTAGGATTTTCTTTTTGTAAAGAACTTGCTCCAATACTCTCTCCGGACTGATAATACTTATCGTTTTGGATAAGGATGAGGTCAAATTTTAAAATCTTTGGTTATGAATAATTTATAAAAATATTTGTCTTTGAAATATGGTGATTATATGTATAGATTAATCTTAAAAAATACTTCAATAAAATCATATATTTGTTAACATTTATATACATATTATACTAAAAAATAATAAATAATGATCAAAGTTGTTTTTTAAGATCATGCCCTTGTTCAAAACGATAAGTATTATCAACTCGGAGGGAGTAGTTCTCTAGAGATGTATCCAAAAATTGAAATTTCCTTCCCATCCTTTCTCGCTCTCCATAAGTCGGGAGACGCTCTTGCTCCCAATGTTCGCACGGCAAAAAAGAGAGGGCGACACATGGGAAGGGGGATGGACCGAGCGTTTTTTTTATATCGGGTTCATTTTTTATTTTTGAAGTTAATTTGAGATATCTCTTAGAGATCTGTTTGCACCTTAAAATCAATTAGGAATTTGAGAATAGAATTTTAGAAATAGCTTTTTAGATATTTGTTGGGCATGCTCTTATGACGACTAATTACCTAATTTCTTTTTTTAGCTTTTGAGGGATATAGCTGAAATCAGAATTAAGAATTTTATGAGGATAGGCAGCCCCAGGACAGGATCCGATTGGACGGCTGAGCATATTAGCAACTTTTGGAAGTTCATTTGCCCCAAGCCTATAGTGAAAATCTCAAATTTATTATACTAGTTGATTTTCATGTCAAATTTGTCCTCATAAATTTAGTAACCACAATCTCATCATCCACAAATGGTGTAAAAACAACAGTGCGTCACCAACGCATTGTAAATGACAAAGACCATAAGGAAACAAATGTGGAACCAAAATATTTTTAGTATTATCAAAAATCTTTGTCAAAGTGAAAAGTAAATATCATAAAGAAACCAGGATATGCCATGTCATCTGACAAATATTAACCATCGGATACACTTAAAGACAAAATAAGTCGAATACCGTAGGATGAAACTTAAGTATAGTCGTAAAAAATGTAGGAATGTTCTAGAGTACCCTGTAGAACCTCCCCTAACTCTTGGCACAGCTGCAAGCCCAAGCTCCATCCTCTTTTCTCCATGCCTGAGGCAAGTTTAGAATAAAAACAAAATAAACTCCTTTACTAACAAAATGTGAAACTTATAGTTAGATAACTTTCAAATTGAAATGCATTTCCTCGGCCCACATCAGCGGTGTCGGTGCTTCGATTCATGGCCACCACTTACACCTCCATTACTATCTCAATTTGTTCATAAATTCAATTTATAACCATGAATAAATATAGTGAAATCAAATCCATATGAAGTGAAAACACTACATATATAAAAAGTGATTCTCGATATATCTTTGCATAGCCGTAGAGTAACCCAATGAACATACTGAATAACGTGTTTTCTATGGAATTTATGTCAATAGAGTTACAATAAATCCTACATTCACAATTAAACAATATAGCAGGTCTAAAATTATCAGATGTGTCGGTCATAGAAACGATCCTGAATAAATAAGATAAAAAAAATCTACCACCTACAGAAATATCCATAACTAACGAATAGAAAAATCAACCTAATTGCTCGGACTTGAACCAAATACTCTCCAAAGTTCAATCCTTAACATAATTGAATAATAGAATTCAGATATAGAACTAGACCAATTAAATTTTAACTAATATGAAAATAGAAGATAGAAGGAGAAAGAGAGTCTCCTGTCTTAATTCTTAAATCTCTATAGGTTCTTAAAAGATCAGATTTATAACCATTAATTTTAATCCAGAATCTTCCGTCTTCACCCTTCAATGCAAAGCCTTGATACAACTGACCCATAAGGCCATAACTGTCGAAAGCCTTCCTTAGAATGCACTTGATTATTCAATAGATGTACACAGAAATAAAAACGTACAAAACCCGGCCTCTACATGCAATACAAGTACAAAAGTGTTTAGACCCAAACTCGTTATAAAAGGTTTCAACAAAGCATTGAAAGACAACAACCAAGCAAAAGACAAATACAAGACCACTTCCAATCCCTTTCTACAGTTCCGCCCAAACTTTGCCGCACTCCTCCAATTTGTGGTCACCCTCTTTTTTATGCAACAAAGACCACCAACACGTCCTTGAAGATTACCTGCAAATTATTGGAATTAATTTGGGAGCCATTCTAAATTTCTAATAATAAGTTACTTACCTCGTGGATTTGTCTAAAAACGTGAAAGCTTCCCGGCGCCTCTCCCTCCTGAAAACACCCCTTCATGGGGTTCATCACGATTCACGAATGATTACTACCTACACCAAAGGTAGCAATTTGTGGATTCACTTTGGATCATCATCTTGATCTTGTTGGCAAAAACTCAGGATCAAACTACACACGAATCCCTGGAAATCGACAATGCTTGACGATGAACAGTGGAAGAGAAGAACACACGCGAGAAGTTTTTTGTGCCGCTAAACTTACGCAGCTTTTCTGTATATTTCATCTCCTTTTATGGAAAGCGAAAACGAGATCATGCAATCGTGTAGATCGTGTCTCCGGCTCTGTGCACTCCCACTTCCTCCATTTGCGCATGTGCCATCCCACACGGCGGAGAACGTGAGCGTACGACTCGCTACACTACGCCTAATCGTGAACTTGCACGAATCCGGCTTTACAGGACGTGACTCGAACTGTAACAACCAAGCCACAAAAAACGGAAATAAAACAGACTCTAACAAACACCTTGCATGCATCGAACAGTGCACGGTGTGAGAAGGAAAAAGCAGAGCTCCTAAAACAGAGCTCCATAGTGCCAGCTTATATCATCAAGTCTAACATTCTCCCCCTAAGCCTGGCACCGTGAACTGACCTCGACGACGCTGATGCGAGCTCGCAATTCTTGAAAACGAACCCGCCCGAGTGCCTTGGTCAGGATGTCTGCAATCTGCCCATCAATGCCAATGAACTCAACCTGAGCTCTCCCGTCCTCCACGCACTCACGGATGAAGTGGTAGCGCGTGGCGATGTGTTTACTCCTGTCATGAAACACTGGATTTTTGCTGAGGGCGATCGCCGATTTATTGTCGACGAGGAGCTTGAAGCTTTCTGGCTCCTCTTGCTTGATTTCTCCCAGCAGCTGCGCCAGCCAAATTCCCTAACACGCCGCCGTCGTCGCCGCTATGTACTCCGCCTCACAAGATGAGAGCGCGACAACCTTTTGCTTGATGGACTGCCAACTGACCGGGTTGGCGCCCAGGAAGAAGACGACCCCGCTGGTGCTTTTGCGAGTGTCGACATCACCCGCCATGTCTGCATCACAGTATCCGACGAGCTCAGGTGGCGTTTCCATCCTTTTGTAGTAGCAGCCGAAATCAACCGTGCCGGCAACATAACGCAAGATGCGTTTCACCGCCGCGTCATGCTCGGTGGTTGGAGCTTCCATGAAGTGGCTCACGTACCCAACAGAGAACGCGAGGTCCGGCCGCGTGTGAACCAGATACCACAGGCAGCCGACGATGCTGCGGTACTGGGTGGCATCCACCGGCGCCGCCGTGCTTGCCTTGGTCAACTTGAGACGAGGCTCCATCGGCGTCAAGCAGGAATTACATCCCTGCATCCCGGCTCGCTCAAGTATGCGTTGTGCATACGATTTCTGCGATAGTCGAATGCCGTCCGCCACCTGTTCGACCTCGATCCCCAAGTAGAACGAGAGGGGACCAAGATCACTCATCTTGAATAGGGACATCATCTCAGCTTTGAAACGGTCGATCTCCATCGCCACGTTGCCGGTGATGATCAAGTCGTCGACGTACACGCCAACGAGCAGTCGGCTGTCGCCACTGCCCCGCCCGTAGACCGCGTGCTCGCAGTCATTGCGCCGGAACCCCAGCGACAGCAGGCTCGCGTCCAGCTTCGCGTTCCACACGCGTGGAGCCTGCCGAAGACCATACAAGGCCTTGTCCAGGCGAAGCACTTGATGTTCGCGTCCGTCCACAATGAACCCAGGAGGTTGCTTGACGTAGACCTCCTCGGTGAGCTCCCCGTTGAGGAACGCCGACTTGACGTCCATGTGGTGGACAGGCCAGCCTACTTGCGCCGCCCGCGCGAGTAGCATTCTCACCGACTCCAGCCGTGCCACTGGAGCAAACACCTCGTTGAAGTCCACCCCTGGCTGTTGCATGTATCCCTTCGCCACAAGACGAGCCTTGTGCTTGGTGATCATGCCACGCGCGTCCTTCTTGATCTTGTAGACCCATTTGAGTCCGATGGCGCGATGACCGGGTGGCAAGTCGACAAGGCGCCAGGTCTTGTTGTCCTCGATGGAGGAAATCTCCTGCAGCATGGCACGCCGCCACTCTTGGTGATGCTCGGCCTCGCCGAAGGTGGTAGGTTCCTCCGCCGCCAGCAAGTAAAGCTCGCCGTCCGCCAGGTCCCTTGTTGCTAGACCCGGCGTGTACGCTCCCCCAGAATCCCATCGATGGAGCGGTACCGGGGCGGACAGTCGTCGGCGTCGGCGTCGAGGTTGTCGTCGCCGTCCTGCGGCGGGCTGACGAATCTCGGTGACCTCGCATTGAGCAGTGAGGCCGTCAGTGACGGCGCGTCGTGCGCAACCGCGCCATGTCTCGGTGTGGCCAGCGTCGGCGTGGACAACTCCGCACGTTCCGGCTCCTGAGTGACAATGTATTCAACAGAGAAGTCAGACGAGGGAGGGGAATGCATACCATCAGTGGCATCCCAATCCCAGCTGGCGCCCTCGTCGAACACCACGTCGCGCGTCACTTGAACACGACCCGACTTCGGGTCGAACAACTTGTAGGCTTTGGATCCCTCAACGTAGCGAGGAAGACCGTGGGCTTGTTGCGGTCCTGGAGCTTGGTGACATGCGGCCGAACATCCTTGACGTACGCGAGACACCCGAACGTGCGCAGGTGCCCAACGGCCGGCTTCCGCCCAAACCAAGCTTCATACGGAGTCTTGTTGTCCAAGCATTTGGTCGGCGCGCGATTGAGCAAGAACACAGCCGTAGTGACTGCCTCCCCCCAGTAGCACGCCGGCACTGACTTGGCCTTGAGAAGACTCTGCGCCATCCCCAGAATCGTCTGGTTGCGGCGCTCGACCACCCTGTTTTGCTGGGGGGAATACGGCGCGGTGAGCTGTCGCTTGACGCCGCTCTCGGCGCAATGCGCGGCGAACTCGGCGGAGGTGAACTCGCCCCCATTGTCGGTGCGAAGGAGCTTGAGACGGCAGCCAGACTCAGCTTCGCTGCGGGCTTGGAAGCGTTTGATCGCCACTGCCGCCTCCCTCTTGTTCTGAAGCAGTGCGAGCCACATGTAGCGGCTCGCGTCATCGACCAACAGCAGAAAGTGTTTCTTGCCGCCGGGCGTCGCAGGCGAAATGGGACCACAGAGGTCACCATGGACCAGCTCCAAACGATCCTCCGCGCAGAACAGGGACCGCCAGGGAAACGGTGAACGTCGTTGCTTGGTGATGACGCAGCAGTCACACAGTTGCTCAACTTGATCAATTTGGGGAAGACCACGAACCATGTCCTGTCGAGCGAGTCGCCGGAGCGCGTCGAAGTAGAGGTGGCCGAAGCGAGCATGCCACAGCCACGCGGCCTCCTGCGTGCGTGCTGAGAGGCACATAGGCCGAGCGACGGTGATCTTGATCAGGTACAGCTGATTGCGCGTACGCTGCACGCGAGCGAGGAGCTGTCGCGCGGTGTCGCGGATCGTGCAGACGCCATGAAAGATGCGGACGTTGCAGCCATTTTCATCCAGCTGCCCGAGACTGACGAGGTTCGCGTTGAGCTTGGGGATGTAGTACACCCCTGTGAGTGCGCGGTGTTCACCGTTCCTGCACTCGAAGATAATTTTACCTTGGCCTTCAATGGCGACCACGGAGCCGTTGCCGAAACGGACTTTGCCGCGCACAGCAGTGTCGAGCTCGGCGAAGATATCACGCACGCCGGGCATGTGATTGGTACCACCGGTGTCAAGGTGCCACACACCGGTGTCAACGTGTTCCTGGCGATGCAGGGGAGCGAACACCTTGGGTTCATCAAGGTCGAGCAACCCCGCTGGAGGCGGGGACGGCGACGGAGGTGGCGCCAACTCAATGGCATGAGCCATCAGCAACGCTGGCTCATCATCCTCCTCTTCACCATGGGCGATGTGCGCCGCGACTTGTTTCTTGGGCTGACGACAGTCTTTCGCCTAGTGACCGAGACAGCCACAGTTCTTGCACTTATCACGCCCTTGATCGTGCGTGTCGCGCGCGCCACGCTCGCCATCCGCAGCGGCCTTGGATTTCTTCCGGCCACCGCGGCGGCGACGGTTGTTGCCCGCCTTCTTGCCCAACGATCCCTCACCGGACTGCCGTTCCTTGGCGCGAGCAGCCCACTGTTCTTCAATGAGATACAGTTTGCCGCCCTCATCACCGGACTTCTTCTTGGGACGGCGTTCCTCCGCATTTCTCAGACGAGTCTCGATGGACAAAGCAATCTGCTCAAGATGATCAGGAACAACATGAAGAAACTTTTCACAGACCTTTGATTCCTCGAGCTGGAACCCGAGTACGGCAAGGTTGTTGACGAGCCCACTCAGCCGGACGGAGAACTCCACGGACTCGCCTTCCTTGAACTCATTCGCGTCGAACTGCTTGCGCAACTCCTGCGCTTTGGACTTGCGGACGCGGTCGACGCCGACGCGCATCGTCTTGATGGCATCCCAGGCGTCTTTCGCCGTCTCCTTGACAGCGAGTACCGGCAGCAGATCAGCGGGGACCGCCTTGAGGACGGCCTCCAACGCCATCCTATCCTCCTGGAAGTCGACGTCACCCGTCTCGACAGCTTCCCAGAGGCCGCGCGCCTGGAGCATTACCCTCATCAAGAGGGACCAGTCGCTGTAGTTCGTCTTCGTGAGGATCGGATAGTTGGCTGAGCCCCCCACCTCCTTGACCACGCGCCTAAGCGGAACCATGTCCCAGGCGTCGCCAGGCCTACGGCGACCACGGCGCGGAGGAGGCGAGCGGGATTGACGACGCGGCGAACGCGAAACGCGCGGCGTCGGAGCCGACATGGCTCTGATACCAGATGTTGGCAAAAACTCAGGATCAAACTACACACGAATCCCTAGAAATCGACAATGCTTGACGATGAACAGTGGAAGAGAAGAACACACGCGAGAAGTTTTTTGTGCCGCTAAACTTACGCAGCTTTTCTGTATATTTCATCTCCTTTTATGGAAAGCGAAAACGAGATCATGCGATCGTGTAGATCGTGTCTCCGGCTCTGTGCACTCCCACTTCCTCCATTTGCGCATGTGCCATCCCACACGGCGGAGAACGTGAGCGTACGACTCGCTACACTACGCCTAATCGTGAACTTGCACGAATCCGGCTTTACAGGACGCGACTCGAACTGTAACAACCAAGCCAAAAAAACGGAAATAAAACAGACTCTAACAAACACCTTGCATGCATCGAACAGTGTACGGTGTGAGAAGGAAGAAGCAGAGCTCCTGAAACAGAGCTCCATAGTACCAGCTTATATCATCAAGTCTAACAGATCTCTGTGTTTGGAACCAGCCTGATTGGAGGGGAGCAAGGCGTGCAGAACGATCTCCCTAAGCCCGCCCAGAATGCAATGCGACCAACTTGTTTCTTGTTTTGCATAGAGTGCTGCATCCGAAAGGTCAGACCTCATATTGATATTGTGATTGTTCATCAGTAGACCAAGACACCAAACTTTTTTCTCCTATTCTGGATCGGCATCGTGGTATCATTGCAAAGAGAAAAGGATGTGTTGCAAGCTTTTTCACTGGAAAATGAAAAATCCGACCTTGCAAGAAATTGAGAATCCGAAACTAGATTCATACACGTGTGCCTCAAATGTGCTGGCCATTAATTGTTACGCCAAAAGTATGTAGAACTGCATTCCTACACTCCTGTCTGTTCAGAACGAAAGTTGACTGGCACATTCAGGATCGCTCGTCCAAATCCAAAACCACAGCAATACACATCATTCTTCCTAATGAGCTTCTGATTAACTGAAGTACGTACTACTGCTCCTGATCCATTGTAGTACAGCTAAAAACAGCAGATAAACCGAAAATATGAAGAGAAAAAAAAAACAGCAAGAACGAGAAGGGAGACTCCCCCCCCCCCCCCCCCCCACTCATTGGGTTAATTAGGCCGATCGATCCATCTCCCTCAAAAGAGGCATTGCTGAAAGTGCAGTAACTAATTCATCCTCCCTCGAAAAACTGTTCTGATCCATCAAGCTACTTTGACACTTAGATTGCTCGCTTGGCTTGCAAAAGTGAGATCTCTTTGTACTACTTACTTACAGTCACTGCTGTTGCTGCGCAGGCTGTTGCAGGTTAGCGAACACGTCTTGTCTGTAAAGGATGAGCAGCAACTCACCATCTGGTTCGCCCGCAACATGATTTGCAGCATAGATGCCGATCCGGCGAAGTTTGTCAAGCTCGGTCTGAAGATATCCTCCGATGCCATCCTGCTCCCGGCTCCAGCAATGTAATGCAAATCCAGAAATCAGGTCCCAGCTCGTGATTCTCTTCCTTGTAATGAGGCTTGTGATCGTTCCATTCATATATAGGTCCATTTGGTGAGAAACGAGCGCTCTGACTGATCTCAGGCGTGCAGCTTCACAAAACATCACTGCTAAGCGTGCAATTGCTCTCCTTTGGACATGAAGAAGTGGGTGGTCACGCGGAAGACCATTGTTGAAGTTCAGTAGTCTGTAGTATGAATCAAGTACAGACGGTGGCCCCACTGTAACCTCATCCCTGCAAAATTGCAATGTTTCAAGTCATTACTAACTTCTTGTAGATCAGAAACAAAGATATTAATAATTTTCTTGTAGAAAGTACAAGTTTTTCTTGGGGCGGTACTCCCAAGTCATTCGAGGCCATCTGTTCTAGAAGAACCAATGGTTGAGTATAGTAGGTAGTAATATATGCCATCACTTACTACTCAAGGGTAATTAAGCCTTTTGACACCATATCCATATGAAATAAATGTTAAATTATCATTCCATTTATTATAATTGCCCTTACTACAGAATATTCTGACTGACCATATCTTTAGGAAGATGAGCTTTGATCTTTTACTGATATTCCCTTAAAACAAATGAAGCATTAAGAACCAAATAATATTTTGGAAAATTAAATATAGTAGAACATAAATTTTGTGAATTTTAAAATCCAAATAATTTAGATTAGAAAAATAAGAAATACCCCAATGAACTTAATGTCGAACCTAGAGGAAAAATTGATAAGCAAACTTGAATTTTCAACGCTCCCAGTATAAATTAAAAATCCTGAACAAAAAAACTCAGATCGTACCAATCAAATTCAATATTTGAAAGCAAGAGTTTGTATTTTCTATTTCTATTATATAAATGTACATATATATTCTTAAACTTCAGTTTGATAATTTGATATTGATCTTGAATGTGCCCTATTATCATTACCTGCGTCAATGCAATCCTGATTCAAATTAATAGAATCATTTGTAGAACAGCTTATTCATTTACAAATGATAAATAAAAGTGTACAAATGAATAAGCCGTTCTACAAATGATTCTATAAATGATTCTACAAATGATTCAATTATCCTGATACAGATTCACACTTTTATTTATCATGATACATGTACAGTGACTAACTAAGCGAGCTACACACAAGGAGGGAACATGCCATAAGAATTAATAGGACGTATATGCGTACACGTTCACAGGTTTGCCAACATCATTTATCATGTTGCTTTTTTTTTAAGCTCAAACCACAGCCACTATGAATAACACACTAAACACAATTACAATTTTGTTTACCAGCCGACTGCCCCTATAGAGTGCTAGGATTAGCCTCTTGAAGGGTAAAAGGAGCACATTGAAAAAAACATAAAATACAACTAGGAAAGCTACACTTACCAGTCCTGAAGAAGGTGACCATAGTCTGCTTTCAGGTACAAGATAGGTTGGGCATTGAAAATGTCAGGGGCTGGTGTGTCAGAGAAGTTGAACCACTGACCGGCACCATTTCGGATGGCAATCAAATATGCATTTCTTTGGTCAATGAGTATCTGAACAGATGGTGACTCAGGCATGTCAAGAGATATTATGTGCCACCCCTCCTCATTGCTTGTTATAGGAACATTCCTGAAGTTGTGGTGTGCCCTCCGCTGAAAACGGCCTCCAATATCGTCCATCAGCTTGTTGTAGCTCAGAGCAGACAAATCAACCACGCTGATGTGGAGAATTGGTATTCCCTGCAAGAAGAAGGATCCATCCAGTGCATGAGCAGCTGCAAGGATATTCAGTTTCTGCACTTGCACTTGTCCAAAAATCAAAACGATGTCATTTCATTTGAATTCTTCAATCTTTATGTGCACTTGGGAAAATGCGATACAGTTTATCTACAGTGAATAGAACAAGAAATTGTTTCACAATAAAATATTGCAGAATTGGCTGGCTCCCCCAAGAGGTTGGCCTGTGCAGCAATTCTTTCAGTCTATAATTAAATAGGCAACAAGGCACTTGCCTTTCTTAAGAAAAAAAAAGTGCATAGCTGAATATAAGACATAGAGTACCATTCACATGTGCTACTTGTCATATGTTTTATTCTCAGTGGTGTATCTAAAATTATTTTTTGTTTCGGAGATTCTCGGAACAATGAATCATGCAACTTCATTTAGTTTTGGCAAAGGATTTCATGTTCAGCTGCACATTTGGATATGTTAAGGGCTTGTTTGGTTAGTTCCTATAAGGAAGAGATTGGAGGGGATTGAGGGGGTATTAATTCCAAACTCAATAGGGTTGTGGAATTAATCATCTCAAATCCTCTTCAATTCCCATGGGGAGGGATTGACCGAACAAGCCCTAAGGGAGTTCGGCCACATTAGCAAGTCAAGAAAACTAGGGATTAATTTTCTTTTTCAAACAACAAATTTTACTTACATTTTTTAGTAACATAATGGTCTCTAATTATTATTCTCGTCACGACAAATATGTTTTGTTACTACTGAAATTGCTAAAGTACATGTACTAAACACCATTTAACACATTTGCTACCGTAAAAAAAGTTAACAAGGTTACATACTTCCATTGGTGAGCAACTTGAATTGTGTGCTCTCTTCACCTGCAAAATAGAACTTTTCTAAGCAAACAAATGATACATTTTGAAAAAAGGAGTAATAGTTATGTTATTTCTTTCTTTATCTTTATATATCATGTATCTTAAACCGGTTGGTCTTTCCTGATAAATTGGGATGGGAGAGTGGCCTATGCTGAAAAATGGTGACTCATGTACTACTATTATTAAGATTTGCCAAAGGAGTCCTATATATGTAGTAATGATCCTATTAGGCTTACCGTTCCAACTTGCGTCGGGAGACTAACTAGTAGGCAGTTAGGCACATTACGCAAGGCCCTGTGAATGTGAACAGCCATACTGAGTAGTGCTTAAAATGCAAGAGAATCTCATCTGAGGCAGGTAGAAGGAATTACGGCATGAAAAAGAATCACAATGCACTACTTTCTCTTGGTTCTTGATGCCTTGGATGCATTGATGAAAACATATTATCAACACATACATACATACATACATACATATATATATATATATATATATATATATATATATATATATATATATATATATATATATATATATATATATATATGAGATTCCCCTTAAAGAAAGGAGATGTGACAATTAAGGATTTTTTATTGGGCCCACATGCTATAGATCATAAGTTACAAATAATTAAACGCCACATTTTAAGAGTGGCAAATAGTTAAATGTCCCGAGAAAAAGTATGTATGTGAGATGGCTTGATTACAGATCAGGTGCAAAATATTACCTATACAAGATGTTAATATGGTTTAATTACAGAGATGCGAAATATTAACTATACAACATGTTAAATATGGCTTAATTACTTTCTAAAAATGGCTTAATTACGGAGTATTCTTGATGCGCGCGGGGTTAGTAGTTGCGGCAAGCTTATAATTAGCCGCGGTGGGGTGCACCGTGCAGACGAGCGCGCGCTAGCGGAAACTACGGAGGAGACGGCGGCGCTCCCCCTGCGTGCAGAGCGTGCGCGCGCGTGAGGGAAAGCTTAGCTAGCGGAAATGAGGGAGGGAGGGGAGGCGAAGTGAGTAGGAGAGAGCGGAAGGTCGTGGAGGCAGGCCTCACCTCTGCGCCCGTGGCGGATCGCCGGCGGCGAGCGGCGAGGGTTTCTTCCCCGCGGCGGCGGCGGTGGAGTCGAATCGCGCGGCGTCTCTCCTTCGCCCAGGTGCGCGGATTCGGAATCGGGGTGTCTCGGGAGTCGGGATGACGAAGCTTATGTCCGAAGCTTCCCTCCGAGCCGTCGGATCAGATCCAACGGCTCCAGATGCGTTCAGGCGCGAAACGGGATTCCCCCGTTGCCCACGGCCTACTGTCCTTATGGAATTTTCCGTTTTTTTTTCGATTTTGCTATATCTCACTTGAAAGATTTTTTCTTATCTATCACTCGATTTTCTCTCTCAATTTTACATTGCATTTTCTTGTAAGTTACAGTGTAATTTATGAAACTTACACTGTAATGCAAATTTTAAATTTTGTATTGGATTTGGTCTTTTTCTTGAGGATATGGTAATTTAGTGTCCATTATGGTGTTTCTTAATTATCTTTTGCTTTTTATTATATCTATCGGATTTTAATCCAAAGATTAAAAATCTGTGTGATACGATTATAAAAATCTTTCGAAAGATGTATAGGTACTCCCTTTTTTTTTTAAACCGGGAATTTCCGTTGTGCTCGATAGAGGGAGGCCTGGCAGGGCCGTCTTAGGCCGTGCGGGCCGTGTGACCGCTCGTGGCCCATACTTCTTATGGCCCAGTCCACTTTGACTCCTTTAATAGTTGGCCGAATCTAATTTATATGCCTCAACCAGAAATCCGGATAGGACGACTCCCCAAACTCCAATGATATTGGACTCCCTCATCAGTTTTGAAGGACGGTTTTGCTAATATGGTGATGTTGACATGATCTTTATCCCATGTAGCGCTTATGTGATATTAGAATTAAAAAAATATATGTGAGGCTCATTTGTCATTCACATACAAAAATATATATTGTGGGACTCACTGACATATGGAGCCCACATATCATCATCTCTCTCTCAAACCCTTCTTCCACCTCCCTCTCTCCCTTATCTCTCTATTTTCTTTCCCCCTTCGGTCTTGGCGATGACAGGCAGGACGACGCTGGCGAGCGGACGAGGGCCGAAGCGGCAGCGGCGGGGAGCTGATTCCCATCCCTTTCCTTGGCTCCCCAGAAACCCTAATCCATGTGCCGCATTTCGCCTCTCCCTGCGCAAGACCGCATCACATGCCGCCGACGTCTACTCACATTGCTCATAGATTACTGGCCGTGCTAGCCATGGGACATGTCGGGAACTCAAGGTTGGCCGCACTCGAGGGCGAGGAACGGGTAATCCGTGCGCTAGAGCCGGCGCCACACCTAGGTCATCCTGCAAAAGGAGGGGAGCACAAGCACCAAGAGAGGAGAAGCACCACCGTCCAAAGAAATGGGATGATCGGTCGCAATCCGGAGAGGAAGTGGTCAGAGGCACCGGTGGTGGTGGCAGAGGAGGAGGGGGATCCACCTGTGGCGGAGGAAGAAGACGAGGAAGAAGGCGTCGACTTCATCAGCGACCTCCCAGACGCCATCCTCGGCGAGATCATTGTCCGTCTCCCCACCAAAGAAGCCAACATCACCCAAGTCCTCGCCGCTCTGATGCTCCACACCGCTCAACCTCGGCTGTTGTCGTCCCCGCGCGAGAAAGGATGCCCTCGCTGGCTCCGTTTCCGCATCCCTAGCTAGACCCAGCCGATGATCTCCAAGAACGACTCCGCGTGCGACGAATCCACGCCGTCCAGCTGCCCCTCCTCCATTGAATATATTTTGATACAAATGTTTGTTCTGTATTGAAAATACTATTATATTTTGCTATAAGCTAGGTCAAACTTAAGGAAATTTAACTAAAAAAAGTCAAACGACTTATAATATGAAACGGAGGGAGTATTTGAACTAGAAGTTTCCTATGCAGTACGGTAATGCTTAAACATAATAAATTAACAATGTGCACTAATGAGATACTCTCTTATTCATGAAATATCTCCGCTCGTGCTCGCATGCATTCCCGCCGTGCTCACCGGCCTCCCTATCTCCTTCCTTTCCGCCGCTAAGCTCGTCGTCGCACTGGTCGCCACCTTTCCTCCTCTCCAGCCGTCGCCGTTGAGCCGACCGCCTCTCTCCCCCTCCCCGCCGCGGCGCCATTTGGCAGCAAACCACCAGCCCTCTGCCACTCCGCCCGCCGCCCGTGACCGCCTTCCGCCCGTTGTCGCGCTCGCCCGTCGCCGCTCTACCGCTGCCCCCTACCTGCTTCGCCTTCCGCTCGCTTCCGACGAAGGGGCGGAGCACGAAGAGGACGGGGTTGCTCTGCCCGCCCGCCGCCGCTTCGCTGCCGCGCGGGCCCGCCACCCACCCATCGCCGCTCCGCCCGCTGGCCTCCCTTACTGAAGAAGAGAAGAGAAGAGAGAAAATAGAAGAGAAGAAGAAGAAAAGAGATAAAAAAATGTGCAGCTGACATGTGGGCCCCACATACTTTTTTTAAATTTTTTTGCTGACTAGGATGCCACGTCAGCGAAACCACCCATATATACTGCCATGAGATCTTAAGTGCATGGTTTGTGTGAGTTTAGATGTACATATTTCTGATTTTGTGGTTAAGTAACCTCGAAAAATTTCGCTGTTAAGTTGAGGAACGTCCGGTGAACTTATTCCCAAAAAAATTCCTCGTTCTGAGAAACTTCAAGGCGGGATGGCGGCGGCGGTGGGGCAAGAGGAGGATTTGATGAGGCCACGTGATGGCAGCGAGGAGGAAGAGCTGCTCAACGAGCTCTCCCACTATCGCCGCTACTGGACGAATCTGTGGTCCGACGATTCCGGCGACATCGCCAAAAGAAGTGAGGAAGCTTCTTTTTTCTTGTTTTAGAGATGATTTTATGGTAAATACGAATTCGCTCATCCTCTTGTTAGGTTTTTAGTTTTCATCTCAAATCGACATGTTCACTCGCTGATTATGGTAGGCGGGAGCCTGGGCGCACAATAGTGAGGATGGAAACATGAAAATGGAAAATGTTGGGATTGACATTTTTCACATGGATATGCATCAATGTGATCTAATGGCTCGTCTCTTTGGTGTGTTGCAAAGGAAAAAGAAACAATAATGCTTGACTGATTGATATGGTTTATTGGATGGATGCAACTGAGATTGGTCCCATGCGGTACACGGAGGAACCGCCCTGGTTCGCAATGCTCCTAGATTTACTAGAGGTTTTTTCTTTTGAGGTGACGGAGCTTAAAGGTATTCTACGCTGGCCAATAGATGTGTTTGGTCTCATCTCCGTTCGTGACTCTCTGGACCGGAACCACAACTATATCTTTGAGCGCACCAGGAACAACTGCCAGACTCTCACTGCAAAGGTATCTCCATGCTTCATGGAAATAGCAGCACAAAGTCATCAGACTTTTATACAGGCAGCTAGTTAGTTTACAACTTCACATTTGTGGTGCACTAGTGCAGTAGCTCTTCTTTACCTAATTAAAACTAGTAATATACCCGTGCTAACGCTACGGTGCAATTATATAATAACACTAATAAAAAAACAATATCAGCTTAGTCTCTCTTATGCTTGAAAGCTAAAATTAAAATTTCAAAACTTAATTTTGAAGTTGAATTTGTTTGTATTTTGTCGTAGTTTATTTTACAGAATGCCCTTTTTAATCGCTAAAGACACACATATAAAAAGTTTTTTTTTTGTTTTCTGTTGCTAATCCACGAGATAGATTAAAGATTAATATAAAGAAAAAGAGAGAAAAGATAAAATTATTTAGCACTAAAATATCACCACATTCTTCGTAACCCATCTAATTCCAGATTACTTCATATTCTAGTATCATGGAAATGTAATGCATATTTTCCTGTACTCGTACGAAATATGCAAACACGCTCAAATCTAACTTGTCAAAGCTTGGAAGGCTCAATCCAAGAGAGCTATGATTTTCAATTAGTCACAGGAACTCCAGTATCCAACTTTGTTTAAAAAAAAACAGTATACAGTATCTGCACAATAGCTTCATGCCAACCAATGTAACTTCAAAATGCAGCCCTCTCAATCCAACACCAGTATCTAGTACTACACAATAGCTTCATGCTGACTGCAGTTACTTCAAACGTGACCCTCTCATTCTGCAATCCACAATGACTTGATCTTTTGAGCTGCATTTCAAAACCAAAATTAACCAAAAGGATCTTAACACCTGAAGAAAAAAAACTGCAGAAGCGAGGATCACCCAACAACATTCTCAGCTACTTTCCAGTCTTTGAACGTGCATCCCTAGTTTTCCAGCTTTGTGTGTTTTATCCGATAACAATAAATTGATATAGCAAGACCAGCCACGCTATCAATCACCTTTAGAAAAATGATCTATAGAAAAAATATATTTATGTACTGTGTACCTCCATATCAGGAGAATCTTTGATTGGATTTAAAAGAATTAGCAAGTTTTATGTACAGGGGGTTCAGATGTAAACATCTTACAAATTAAATATAATTTTCGATGCAGCCAGTTGCACAAATACTGCTAGGAATTAATGACATTCAAGTGAATCACATATTTTAGGGAACAAAGGTGCAAAGCAATCGCAGAATTTCAGTATAATAATCTTCAACATAAGATATTATCCTCCAAAGATCAGATCTTATAGGTGATTTATTTCACCGTCTTCAGAAAATACCTAATACATACAAAGCCATACGTGAACTAAACTGTGAAGAAACACTCAGCAGTGACGGTGAGCAGCGGCTCGCCCAGCAGCTCAGATATTCAAATTTATCCAATGGAAAATCACATCATTTTTTCAGTATTTGTAGCCAAACCTAAATATAGGAAATAGCATCCTCAATCTGCTAAGGGGAAAATCAGCACGAAATGACTCAACACTGAATGAACATGCGCTTGAATTTCTTTTAGAATTATTCGTGTACATAAGTTGAATATGAAAAATACATCGAAGCTACTGTTACCATGTGCCTGCTTCACTTCCAAAACTTCCAATAAGCTGACACATGGGCTGTACAATAACGTGGAATATATTACTCCCCATCATGTAAGTAGAGAGCTTGAAAATTCTCTTCTTGACTCAACCAAACATATTGGCTGAAAATAATGTGAATCAAATTCACCATACTGAGTGCTACTAAACAAAGTAGCAATACTGGTGTTGGTGCATGATTTAAAAGAGAAAAATGCTGTTAATAAATGATTTCTACTGATATTACAAGTCACAGGGAATTGAGGTGGCATTGTATAACGAGTAATTCATGATTAACAGCAACTTACCGGGGATGGCTGCAGGCACGCGATGCGAAGGCTTCGCCTGGCTGCACAAGATCTCGTGCGAAGCTGCGCTGCCAGGGCGCTCGACCAGCCGGGGCTTTCCTCGCTGCTACGCCGGCTAAGCCACCGGCCTCCCTCGCCGGTTCGTTGGCTCGTCGCTGACAATGCGGGTCAGTGGTTCTAGGGTTTGGGGTGGGAGGTTGAGGGGTCTGTGGGGGTGGAGGACGCTGAGGTTTGGGGATAGGGTTCGGGCGCGGGGCGGGGGGAGTACATGGCGGCGTTGAGGGAGTGGGGAAAAGAATAGATCAGCCGATTAGGCGGAGGGGTCACGACATCATCATTGTGGGGAGGGGCGCGACAATTGGGTGCGACCGAGACTTAGGGGAAGAGCGTCATGAATGAAATCGGCGAGGGGCAGGGAATCCGATCCGGCGATGGAGTGGGAGGGAGGGGGAGCTAGCGATGCGAGACGACGGGGGCGATGTCTGGTGTGCGGCGATGCGAGGCGACGATGGCGGCGTCTGGTGTGCGAGAGAGATTAGAGGAGGGGGAGCGTGCGGGTCCAAGGTGCGCAGAGGGCCGCCTCTTGCGATGCGCAAGGCAGGTGGCGATTACGGCACTGGGTCAGGGGCGGCGTGAGAGATGCACGGAAGAGGGCGGCAATCCAAACCGTTTGATCAGATGTAGATGAATACAGAGCGTTAGATTTGATGAATGAAGTATGAAAGGATGTAAGAGGTACTTGGTGAATTATAGGGTAGAAGAATAGCAGCGCAATCATGAGATGTCTGGCGCAGTTCTATTGAGAAAATTCGTTGTGTCTGAACTCTGAACTAGTTGTACCTTTGGTGCATCATTTAGTTTACTTAAACAAATTAGAACAGTTCAAACTTATATGCACATCATGGTTCCATTTCACAAATTATATAGGATAGTCTGATACTAGTTGTATCACAGAAGCTTATCAGTAAACGACCTGAAAGATTCAAATGTGCTTGATTTAGTATCCTGTGATGGCATTTCTTTTTTACGAACGGCAAAAATAAAACCTGTGATAACATAATCAAGCAATTTTACAATCTCAAACACCCATACACACCAGAGATTACCATATTTTCATGATACATAAGGGGCATCACAAACATGTGGGTTGTTAACAGAAATAACTACAGAAACATTTGGTGCACAGGCGCAGAATTGATACTACAAAAATAAAATGCTACCAAATCAATTGATAGAACATGCAGGGGTACTTCCCCACTCTTATTTAATTCATTGCAGCTAGCATTTTCCCTATATGAACTTGCAGAGGCTATCTTTTCTAGCAAGAGATATGCTCCTTGGTCCTTGCTTCAGCTTGTCTGCAATAACTGTATTCTTGTCCAACCATTCCAGTAAAGTTGAAGTTGTCAATATATATATCAGATATTTATCGTACATCATATACTGATGTGCATATTTTGCTATGCGGTATCATTTTATTCTTGAGCAAAGTGAAAATAGAAAATCCAAGTTCAGTTATGCATAGTATGTCGTCAGGCTCACATATGCTATCTTTTCCTAATTATGCTCTTGTTTATATTTTGTTTTGACAGTTCAAATGCCCCATTCATATTATTTTGTTGAGTGGAACTTAGAACACATACGTGATAGAATTATGCATGTTTGTTCACCATCAATCTAGCTAGTTTCACCTTATCCAAAAAAAGGGAAATATTTGTTGTGTTACATTGTTGCTACCATTCCTTTCTAATTGTTTTCATACAGAGTTCTTAAGTGGTGGATAGTGTATCATCAATATTCTTATACTCTCTCCATTCCATAATATAAGGCACGGTCAAACTTGGCACGATCTCCAAAACTGATCTTCGGCTTATAATTTCTCATATACTATAAGGTTTATAGCAAAAAAATATATAATCATATGAAAGTAGATTCAAATGTCAATCTAATGATAATATTTTTAGAAAATAAAATTCAATTCATACTATAGTAATTATTGGTCAAATGTTTTAAAAGTTAAAACTTAAAATACGTGCACACCTTATATTATGGGATGGAGGAAGTATTTAGTAATGTCATGGATGCGTGTTGGGTTCATCTCTGGTTCTCACAGGTCCAAGCCATGCAATCCTATTGATGGACCCTATTGAATTTGAAATTGAGCTAGGAGTTAAGGGGACGAGTCCCTCCGAAGATAAGATCTTGAGCGCTAAAGCATTTGGGTATAATGGAACTGCTCAGAGACATAGATGTGGCTCACTGCGCAGTATGATGTTATCAGGAGCACGTAGCAAATTGGAGTTCAAGTATGCACACATTCCTGTGGCATTGGAGGCTACAATCAAGGTCAGGATTACAGGAGGTTCAACTGATTTCTGTGGAAAGTTCATTGCACATACTGCTAGTATCAATGAACATGTCATATTGCTGGACTCTGGGGAAGAAATGGTGGCTTTCTCCCATGATGGAGCCATTCATTTCTGCCGCAGTGTAGTTGCAGTTGAAGGAAATGGCGGAGCGTTGATTGTTGATGTTCATGCAAGGCAAAGTGGTGATGAGAACATCAGCTGTGCTTCCAAAAAGTTTATCCCGGTAAGATGTGGATGGAGTCGTGACACACTTGATGTTGGGTTTTGCCGGATGAGCGTTGAGGTTTCTTGGTCGCTCATGTTTTCATATTGAGAAAAGCGTAGGCCCTGATAATATTTTTTGCTTGCTGTGACTGAAGCTGTTTGCTCCACGGCATTGTAATATGGCCATGTTTAATATTCGTTGTAAATAAAATTTTCAGTTTATAGCTATTGAATTGTAGAGTAGTCAGTTGCTAAGCACAGCTTCAGAAGAAATCACAAGATTAGTTAGGTATACTTAGGTTAGCCTGCAATTGCTAGTGCATGGTGGAATTATAGGAGGATTCAATGAGCCCTGCACTAGTGGTCTAGTGGATGAAACCAACTTTTAGGACTGAATTCAATATTTTTCATACTTAAACCTTGTATCCATAATAGTTTATTTTGTACTTTGTTTGTTGATCTATATCTGAAATAACTAGAATAGTTCCAATGTACATTCTCTTTCACTCTGGTTGAATGCAGATTGCATCCTTTGTTGAAGTCCCTTAACGACCACACAAACTAATATTGCACTAAAAGTTACCGTATGCAATACGGTAATACTAAAACATAAACTAACAATCACTATTTTATGAAATAGTATCACTGAAACCAACATTTTGGTGGGGTTGGCAACGTGGGAAAACGTAGATTAAGGACACAGAAAACAAAAAAAAAAACATCAGCTTATGATTAATTGAGTTTTAATTATTGCAAATTTTAAATAGATTTATTTAATATATTAGAACAACTTAGCAGTTTGAAAATCGTGCTAATTGAAACTAAGTTAGAATCTGAATATTACTCAGGAAAGAACGGGGCCTTTGTGATGACAAAATTTGAATCTATGCATTATAATTTCAACAAGTATTTCAAATTTGACTAGTTACTAATACAATGCATAACCTTTTCAAATTAGAATACAACTTATGAAAATCTAAGACATAGAAAGAACCTGTTTGACGGAGTTTAGGATTAAGCAGTTGGTTATTTTCTGGATTCTATAGTTACAAATTCTTAGAATCGGGAATAAAATCTAGGCTGTTTGGGGATCTACAGCTAGGGAGTTTGATTTTTTAGGAGAAACTGCAACCGTTATAAGCTCCCCAAACGCTCCCCAAACTGAACCATACTGAGATAGTAATGTGACAACATTCTTCTTCTTCTTCTTCTTTATTAAAAAAAACACAAATCTCATTTTACAATGTGATTCATTGGGCTCTCCCGGCCCAAGGGCCCAAGAGTAAAGCCCCACAAAAAAGCCCATAACTCCAACCGAATCTCCTCACAACCCAACTTCCCCATCTAGGGCCAGCGCACTCTCCTCCTCCCCTCCTCCGCCGCCGTCTCCGCCGCCTCCAGCCATCGATCCCGGCGAGCCAGCGACCGAGCAGGCCTAGCCACCATCCTTCTCGCCCCCCACCGGCGTTCGCCGACTCTGTTCTTGCTGCTGTCTCGAGGTGAGTCTCGCCTTCCCCCCCCCCCCTCCCTCTCTCTCTCTCTCCCCTCCGCTGTCCCAGATCCCGGATAGGCTCGCGTTTCTTGATTCGATGGTTGATGGATTTTGGTTTGTGGAATTGTGCAGGAGAGTTGCTGTTTGATCGGCCATGCCGGACAACAACAACCTCGAGGATCTGCTGCTGCAGGCGGCGGGGCGGACGACGGGGGCGGGGAAGGGCGGCGGGGCACGGGGGCCGTCGTCGGGCCAGGGCCAGCGGTGGTCGTCGCAGCAGCAGCAGCGGGGGAGGCGCGGGTCGTCGTACTCCGGCGGGAGCGGCTCGGACGACGACGGCGGCGGCGGCGGCGACGGGGGCGACTCCGACGACTCCGACGCCGCGCCGACCCTCTCGAGGAAGCGGCCGCCGTCGGGGTCGCAGGTGCCGCTCAAGAAGCGGCACCAGCCGGAGAAGGGCGGAGGGAGAGGTGGTGGTGGTGGTGGGTGGAAGGAGGGCGACGACGATGACGACGACGACGACGACGACGAGCTCGACGAGGGGAGGCGCAGCGGCGATGACTCAGACAGCGCGCCGTCGGTCGGGAGCGACCTGTACAAGGACGAGGACGACAAGGAGCAGCTGGAGAAGATGTCGGAGCTGGACAGGGAGATGATCCTGGCGGAGCGCGGCGCGCGGATCGACGACTACAAGCTGAAGCAGCTGGCGAGGGCGTCGTCGTCGTCGTCCAAGGCGGACAAGTCGCGGAGGGACAGCAGCCCTCCGCCGCCGCCGAGCCGCGCGCGGTCGTCGGCCAGGACCGACAGGTCCGCCGCCAAGAGCGCGCTGGACGAGCTGCGGGCCAAGCGGATGAGGCAGCAGGACCCGGAGGGGTACCGTAACAGGTTCAAGGATTTGATCCCGCAGAGCGGCTCTCCGCCGAGGCGCAGGGCCGGAAGCCCGCCCAGCGACGGTAGTAATGATGGTGATAACAGGGGGAGGATCACCGATGAAACCCGGGATGATGAGTTTGATGAATCGCCAAGCAGGCTTGACCCTCTGAAGTTTGACGATGTGAAGAGTATAACCCTCAGGAGATCAAAGCTTGTGAAATGGTTCATGGAGCCGTTCTTTGAGGACCTTGTGTCTGGGTGCTTTGTGCGGCTTGGGATTGGCAAGTCAAAATCAGGGACCCCTGATTACAGGCTATGCATAGTTAGAAACGTGGATGCGAATGACCCTGACCGGAAGTACAAGTTGGAGGGCTACACGACGTGCAAGTACCTCAATGTTGTGTGGGACAATGAGGCTAATGCTGCTCGGTGGCAGATGACTCAAGTATCAGACTCCTTTCCCAGTGAAGAGGAGTTCAAGAAGTGGCTACAAGTGGCTGAGAAGAATGGTGTGCGAGTACCGACTCGGCAGGATGTATTGGAGAAGAAAGAAGCCATTCAACAGGCCTACAACTTTGTGTATTCAGCACATACTGTACAGAAGATGCTAAAAGAGAAGAAATCAGCTATCAGACGTCCTATCAATGTTGCTGCTGAGAAGGATCGGTTGAGGAATGAGTTGGATATGGCCATTGCCAGGAGGGATGAAGCTGAAGCAGAAAGGATCCGTTCAAAGCTCAATCAGCTGCAGAAGATGTCGAAGCCAATATCAAATAATGAGAAGGCTGCCAAGTTGGAGGCGATGAACAAGAAGAACCGTGCTGAGAACTTCAAGAACGCATCAGAAATGAAGCCCGTTAACACGAGTTTGAAGGTTGGAGAGGCTGGTTATGATCCCTTTTCAAGGAGATGGACAAGATCAAGAAATTACTACGCAGCAAAGCCTGAAGGAGAGAGCGCTGAAGTCCCCAACGGGAACGATGGCAGCGCAGTAGCTGGCGATGAAGATACGAAGAACGGGCCGCGAGGTGGTTCAGCAGCCACTGCAGCGGCTCTAGTGGCAGCTGCTGATGCCGGTAAGCTGGTTGATACCAATGCACCTGTAGATCTGGGAACGGAATCGAATTTGCTGCATAATTTTGAGCTCGGTATATCATTGGCCGGCCTGGAAGAATTCGGCGGTCCCAAGGGTCTCTTCGATGGTTACATGGCGAGGAAGCAGAAGATTGAAGCAACCATGGGTTACAAGGTCCCTGACAATGATGGAAGGAGGCATGCTCTAACTCTGACCGTCAGTGACTACAAAAGAAGACGGGGTTTACTCTGAACTTCTCAAGTTATCTGTGCCTCTGCCTGCTGTTCGATGGATTCATCTGCCTCTTTGGCCACAAAGTTCATCAGCTGATCGGCACCATGCCATTGTGACTACTTGTCCAGATCAATTTGCATTTTAGCCTTGAGTGTATGTAACATGATGAGACAAGCAAGGTTACACATTTTCTTTTCATAAACAGGACCTGTATGCCTGAATTGTGTTGATGACAATTTCCGCATTAATATTTGTGGAGTGAGTCCTTCTGTTATTTAGTTTGTTACCCTTGTTGCTCTGCATAAAACATTTATGCAGCGGATATTGGGAGACTAGACTAAGAGGTACAAATATTCTATGTTGTATACTTATATGCCAAAAGGAAAAAAAAAACATGTGTCAAGTTATGAAAGTTCCTAATGTTCCTTAATTAGTTCGGTCTAAATCATTATATCAATGTTGATTATCAGATTCTTATTTCTATACTACAAAATGTAAAAAAGAATAGCAATGGCCGTGATACTATAGCAAAATTTCTACTGGAAGAAGGCAAAGCTTGTGTTGAATAATAAAATCTTGTGTAAGATAAAGCTGAGCATCTGCTGCATTGCATCTCAGGAAGCTTCATAGGCTGGTCTACTCACGAAAGGCATACACAAAAAAGGCTTAATTAAACCTTCAGTACAAAAAGCTAATAAAGAACAACGCATATTTGTCTAGGCACTCCAAATTAGACACAAAAGCTTGGTAAATGTACACAGCAGGTCAGATTATTTATGCTTTTCAGTGCAAGATTCAAGATCCATGAGAAGCCTTATTCATCTCAGACTGAGCTGGTTCTCTGAATACATCCTTGTTTGCAATTATTACAGACATGGAAGCCTCAAGGTCAACAGATTACACAAACGTCAGTATGTTGAACTGGCACTAATCGTTCTTCGCTTTGATGAACTTCTTGATGATGCCCATCATCTCACTTCCAGGGAAACGTCCAAGGCAGCCCCTTGCAGCGGCAATCTCGTTGAATTCAAAGACAGAATCGCCACTGAAAGCTTTGCGCTGATCAGACTTGCGATCAGCTACATCTATGTTTTCTGCCACATCTTCTCCAGATTTAACTGAAGGAAGCAGGAAATCGTCCAGGGGGAAGTTGATAACATTGTCCTCCCCCATAGCTCCTACGAAATCTCTAAGTCGGCACAACACAAAAGGAACGGGTTCAAAACTGTGGTCACCGTACTCAACTGGAGTAGAGTGGTCTCCGGTGACACAAAGGAAATACTGGTATTTCCCAGACTTTTCAGCTTCCCACAGGAGCCTTGCAAGCTGAACGATAGCCCGATCAACAGCCTCTAGGCCTAGTACCTTAAGCTTGACAGCCTTATCATGACCGGCATCATCGATGGCCTGAATAAACGATATAAATGAAGCGATCAGCATCACACAGTTAAATATAAGTTCAGAAAGAACCAGAATTGTACTTTCACCTTTATGTGCAAGAACCCAAAGTCATATCCATTTTCCTTTCCAGATTTATATTCATCCTCTCCAGGCACAAAAACACGAGGTGGCGTATCCAGAGGAGCAGACAGTGCCTTGGCTATAGCTTTAGCTTTGGAAGTCAAGAGAGTTCGATAGTCTCCAGTTGCTCCAGGTGCTTCAAGGATATCAATGCCCAGTGAGAGCCCCAGCCCAGCTATGATCTTTGTAGGAGCCACCATGCATGGTGCAAGTCCATGCTTGGTTTCGAAGGCAGGAACCTGACAGAGCCACATGACACTTCAACAAAAAGATTGAAAAGAGGTTTCAGTACTGTCTATTTCCAGAACAACAAGATATGCAAAACCTCACTTCTTTCTTAATTTTGTTTTGACAACCGAATATGTTTGCTGAAAGTAATTATCAGAAAATTGTACAAGCCAATGGAAAGTCTACCCAAAACTGCATTCCTAATTTCCTATAAGTACTACGATGGTCAAATAAAAGGAAAAAAATCATTTCTTCTAACCATTTAATGCACTGATATTTCTTTCATATAGAATTATATAAGAAAGCTGTAACAAAACTAACAGAACAAGATGCCTTAAGCTTAAGTTGCTAAAACCTCAAAGGTCCCGATGCTTAAAATGAAAACTTAACAATCAGATATGGACTGTGCTTATCTTTATATTCTTCAACAACACAGTGCAGAGAAGGAAGAGCTCCGCGGGGAAGCAAAGTCTTCCTTTTCCTTTTATTTGCTAACCTCCAGAGAGCCTCAGAAATGAGAAATGGCAAACAAGGCTAATATTAAGTCATTTGTACTAACCTCAATCCGGATACCACAGCCTCGCAATAACACAACATTTGCAATGTTCTTCCCCTCGGCAGAGCGCTGTGCATTGATAGGATGGGACACCAGTATACGTGTAATCTCCTTAGAAAGCTCATTGACCACAGCTGCCGTGTTTTTAGCTTCTTCTGAATCATCCAAAGGTTCAGCCTTTAGATGCAAGCGGTTGTCCTTCAATGGATCAGTTCCAGAAATGTTCCCACTCAGCCTCGGTCCTTTCACAACCACACCACACCTGTGTTCAGTAGCATATCTGCAGAGCAGCAGTGTTAAGTTACTGCAATAAGCTAACAAGAAACAGCAAGAACATTTCGGTGCAATAGTGCCCATGAGGAACAGGACTGGATGTTGCACCTGACTCTCACTTCATATTCAGGAAACGATGGGAGCTTCAACCCATCCAATGCAGCACAGAGTATCGGGCCTTCCTCCTCAAAGTGTCGATCCGCCCTTCTGCTGACAATGATCCCCGTGCTTTCATCCAACGTAGCAAAGTTTGACTGCAAACAAGTTATGCTTGAAATTTAGCCACAAACTAATACATTCAACAGTCCCAATAATGCTTCTTTTCATACCACACGGCTTCAAACTGCCATTCCATGATCTGAGCCATTACAGCATTACTGACTAAATTAACTTAGAAACACAGCACAAGTTCTGACAAAACTGAGCTCAACTTAGTATTGCCATTTCGAGAACACGCTATGATCTAAGCCACTTTTAACTAGTCATCATGCGAAAGCAACAAAGGAATCTTAGAAATAGAATACACGCGACGATCCAAGCCATCACTAACTAACTAACTAACTAGGAGACTAGATTACTGTAAATAATTCCATATGGCATCTCGTATAATCCAGTGCCCCCCCAAATCCCCAACCTTGAAGGCGATGTCGCCGGGGGCCATGGCGAGGCCGGCGCCCATGGACTCGAACGCGCCGCGGCCGCGGTAGTACACGCGGGGGTCGTACCCGAGGAGGGAGAGGTGCGCCGTGTCGCTCCCGCAGGCGAGCCCCGGCTCGACGGGGTCCATGAGCCCCCGCCACCCCGGCCGCCGCCACCGCGTCCAGCCCCGGCGCCGCCGCCGCCTCCAGCGGCGTCCGCCCCCGGAGCGACGGGATGCTCACGTCCCCGATCCCGTCCACCAGCACGAACGCCACCCTGCTCCTCCTCGCCGCCATCGCCGCTCGCGCTTTGCTTCCCCCCTCTCCCCTCTCCTCTCCTCTCCACCGCCTCCGCCGCTGGCTAGTGTGGCGTCGCCGCTTTTGCTTTTTTTTTTTTTCACTCTCTTCTGCTTCTGACACTGGCTGGTTTAGCGGCGAGACGGAGCTGGTTGGGTCGGACCAGGTGGACGGAAAGCTCGAACCTAGGGGGCTCATGGTCGGGGGCTCGTGGCTTAGATCGTAGGGCCTGTTTTGGGAGGTTTGTAGCTGCTTCTTCTTCTACAATCTCCAATCTCCAGCTCCCTCTTCAAATAGTCTAGATTTTCATTATTTTGATAATCTGTAACTTTAGAATCTAAAAAATAAATTAGAACTCAGAAGCTGAAAAAACCTTTATAAGTTGGCTACCAAACAGCAGAATCTCAGAATCTTAAACTCACCTAAAAAGGACCTTAGTATCTTCATAAACTTATAGCGCATGTTTATAGTGCTCAGCCTTTTAATTACATCCAAATTATTCTTATGGAGTGATTTATTTATTAGTTAGTATTTATTATTAAGTTTATACAGTATATAATTAAATAATAAATTTAAAATTGTAAAATATAAAAATGCATTAACGAGTCTAAGAATAAGATAGCTTGTGAGCTAGCCCTGAATTGAGCTTTTAGCTCGTTAAAATTAACGAGCCGAGCTGGTTTTGATTTAGAGGAAAAACATAGAAATTTTGAAGGATTTTAATCCTATAGAAAAAATTCTTATGAATATATTTAAATCAAAGGATTAAATCCTATCCAATCATTTGAAATTACTATGGAATGGACAATCATATAGAGATTTTGGAGAAAACTTATCTATCTCTTTCATCTGATTTCTGTGTTTTTTTTACGGTCTAATCAAACGGTCATTTCTATATTTTTACTGTGTTTTATAATTTTCTGTTTTCCACTTCAATTACTGTTAGAATCATTTATTTACTATTCCTTTTTTGTTTTTTCATTTCCACGATTAAAGGTGCCCTCAAATTAGGGGTGAAAACGGTACGGAAATTTCCGAGAATTCCGGCTACCGTTTTCGGTTTGCACCGACCGTTTCAATCGGTATCGATAATTGTCGGTATCGGAAATGGAAACGGTAATCTTTTTCGGAAATGGTAGCGGAAATGATATGGGGTTTTTTCCGACCGTTTTGTCGGTAACCGTTTTTTATCGGTAATTTCCGTCAAATTTCCGACAAAATTCCGAAGAAGGAAGTCGGCTGGGCCTGGCTAGCAGGAGGAGGAGCCCATTAGGCATTAAGGAGCAGCCCATTCCGAATAAAGAAGCCAACTAGGCCTGACCGCATCGTCGTCTTCATCGGCGCTGGGGCACCGCCGCGCCGTGTTGGGCGCCGCCACCAGGTCGCCGACGCCGGCCGCAACCTCCTTCGCCCCGATGGCCTTCGTCGCAGCCGGCCACCTTTCCCTCCCCCATGCTCCACCGCCGGCTTCCGTGCCACCGAGCCAAGCGCCGAGCGCCGCCGCACCGCCCCAGCCTCCTCCTCCCCACCGATGCCGCCCCTTTCTCCTCTCTCCTTCCCCCACCGCCGCCCTGCGCCAGGCCGCCATCTCCGGCGCCTCTCTCCTCTCGGGCGCGCGTGAAGGAGCCAAAGGCAGAGAAGAGAACAAGAGAGAAAACAGAGAAGAAATCGAGAGAGCAGGAAAAGGAACCGAGATAAGGGAAGGATAAGAGAGAGAGAAAATAAAAGAAAGAGAGGAAAAGAAAGGCTGTGGGATCCACCGGCGGGCCCCACCATCTTGACTCCTCTCTGTGATCGACCTGGAAATACCAAAAAGTCTAGTTTAGCATGAAACTTAATTACAACGGTAGTTATACAGTGTCAACATAAAAGTTCTTATGCAATGTGCCACTGTAGGACGACGATATAGCTATGTCAATTGATGATGAAATAATGAATGATATTTGACAAGGAGCTGATCAGCTGAAGCCATGCCAGCTTGTGAGCTTGGTGTTCTCGAAGACTTCAAATCTATATCCTAAAAAAAGTCGGACAATATTAGTTATGCTGTAATCCTATCATGTAAGCCACATTGTATGCTTTAGCCACATTGATGTTGAAGTATCATTGAACTTTATTTATATTATTTGTCAATCTTATTGTCAACTTATTAATCATCATATAACGGTGTTGTGTGGCAGCATAATGATGCAAGGGTGAAATTATAAGGTTATCTTCATACATAGTTAAATGCGGAATGATACCACAGTTCGCTGTTTCCGACATGAATTTTCGACTTCCGTCCGATATCGGTATATTCCCGTTCCGACGGTTCCGTTTCCGAGATACCGATATAACCGATATCCTTACCGTTTCCGAGTATACGTTCCGATTCCATTTTCGAGAAAATAAAATATAAATGGAAATGGTAGAGGGTTTTTCCGACCGTTTCCGACCGTTTTCATCCCTACCTCAGATAACATGCTCAAATGAGTCGAGTCCCAACGAGCCGAACTGGCTCGTGATCCGCCCGGGTCAGGCTCCGACCGAGTCGGGTTCGCTCGGTACAAGAACCGACCGAGCCAAGCCACAAATCTGCAACACTTGGCGCTCGCGTCGCCTCCTCTCCCCCACTTCCCCCATCTCCGCCTCCGCCTCCGCCTCGCCGCCGGCGATCGCCGGAGGTCACCGGAGGCCGGCCACCGCGCGGGGGAGATCCCTCCCTCCCCCCGCCTCCTCTCCCGCGCTCGCCGCGTGCCCCTGCCCGGCCGCTCCGCGCCTCTGGTCCCCTCCCTCTCTACCCGCGTGAATTTTTAGCATGTGACGCGGCGGGGGGCGCGCGCGCGGGCGGCGGGAGGAGGCGCCGCCGGGGGAAATCGGGCGCGAGGGCGGCGGCGGCGGCGGTTGCGGGATTGATCCAGAGATTTTTTTTTTTTGGTTATTTGTTTGGATTGGTTCGGAAAATTTTTTTGAGGGCGACGCGTCCTCTTCGAAATTCGTTTTTTCCAGGTGAGACGCTTGTCACACGGAAGCAAATTGCTCGTGGTTTTATTACTGGTGCTTAGTCAGTTTTGGTTGCAATGTGATCTGTGGTAGAATGGCGTGGAATCTGCCGCAAATACATTGCTGATTTGCGGGATTTTTGTAATAGTTTTAGAATTATGAATGATCTATAGTTGAAAGACCGCGGATGTGCATATGGCCAGATTATCGTATTATATTGGATGAACTATTGGTTAGTTATGTGTGCATTGTCAGTTTGGACCTTGAAATGTGGTTTGATCTGAGTTTAGGTGAGGACATGAGGCTGTAGTTGCAAGACCAAAACCCGAATTACCACCATTGTAGGAATTTCTGTTTATTTTGCCGCAATATGAGATTATGGAGTGTAAACTGTGTAGTGTGTAGCGATTTTTAAGCTTTTGCCTAGAAGTTTAGGGTCGTTACAATTTTAGTTTGATCTTTTGGTGGAGGACCCAAGTGATTTTTTTTGCCAGTACAGGCTGACTACTGTTGATTACATTTTAGTAATGCTATATGTACACAATTCTTGCAAAAGTGTTACAAAATAAATATCTGAACCATTAGATTTAATTAGTGGGTAGTTATGGAAAATCAAGATTCACTCATAGCATGTCAATAAGTGTTTGTAGAATGTTTTTAAGATTTTTTTTACGTATATAACCTTTTCTCTACTGTTTTGTTCATGAGCAGCTGATGTATGTAATACATAACAAAATGCAATTATGATAAATTTACTTACATACTTTAAGTCTGGAATGGTTGTGGTGATCGCGTGAATGAAATCGTTGCTAACACAGGCTGACTAGTGTTGCTCAGATAAACAACGAACATCGATGTTACTTTTTGTTCCCAGTGTCTGAATAGATCATCTGGTTTGTAGTTTGAAATGCAAATTGAACCACAAAGAAATACTCTACATGTTCATACCATATGGTTTATCTGCAGCTTATATGGGTTTCGTACGGTACCTGCTTTTGAAATATTCCAGAGGATTTGATGCATGCATTATTCACACATATTTATGTTTCCTTCCTGGCGATACTAACTGTTGGAGAAATCATTGCCGTCTATTAGGCATATAATGTAGCTACAACTTTTGAATCTGCTGGTGAATTGTCATGTTCACAGTTGCACTACAAAATTTCGTTACTCCAACTGACATATTGTGATTGTGGCTGTAATTCAGATTGTTACTACAAAATGGTTTGCATGTCTGGACATTTTCAAATGGCTTCTGTGCTGAAACTTGTTATGATGGAAAGTCATGCAACACCAGGTAAACTATGACTAATGTTAGCTTCTTTTGTGCCTTCATTTTATTTATTCACAAAGTATAGCCAGCCTTCAAAGGACTCTAATACCTATAGCTACCAGAGCAAAACCATGCATTAAGTCTAATTTGGGTACAGTACACATAGTATACCTGCTGTGTATTCGAGATTGAACATATTTGTCCCTATTTTTTTGCAGATGACCTGACCGGTGATAAGGGTGCTGCACAGATCCTACACAGGCAACTTTTTGATGCACATGAACCAAATTTACTTGATGAAGATGGTGAGTATCCTCCTCTAAACCATGTATTGCAGTTATTTCCTCGATGACCCCCGCTTGTCCATACCAAATGGCACTGTTTTACTAGATAGATTTTTTTATTGCTGTCAGCATTGTCCAGTATGTATTCATTTGTTTGGATGTGATTCCTCTGTTTCTTTAATTTGTTTCTAGGTATCATGTTTAGTATTCTCTATTTCTACTAATTGTGTTTGCTTTGTAAGGACGGTGCTATTATACCATATTATTGTTGTTAACTCTTACCTTTTGGTGTCACAACTTATCTTTTTAGTTATTCTATTATGTTGTGCAGATATGCATATATTTGGATCCAAACCTATGGCTGATCCATTGGACCTGGTATTTTTTTTATGATGTTCTGTGTGGGTCTCTATTTACATTTGTTTCATTCAAGTTGTGTTGACATCTTATATTTAAGGTCTTCTGTAATACTTGCAAGAAACCAATAAAGGCCAGCCAATATGCAGTTCATGCAGGTATAACACCAGCCGTTATTTTGGTGCAAATTCAGCGACTTGATTTTGTAATTCTTTATTATTGTCGCTGTAACAGAACTGTGAAGTGTGAACATATAGTTTACAGATCCGTACTCTTAATTTTGCATGAATCCCGAGTTCCCGAGTTGTGAATGTGTAAACTACATATGTTTCAATGTGCATATGCAGAAGGCTCTAAGATATTATTACTATATCATTTGATTTCATCTATGACAACTGGTGCACGATTGTTCATAGACTGGAAAAATAATCTGCACCCATAATACTGTGGAAGCATCTTACACCTATATCTCTTGTTAGACTGGTAGTAGTTTGTTTACTATTTGGTAAATTTGATTGGAACAGCCTATGTATGTGAAACTTGTATTTAAAATATTGGAGTAATTGCACAACCAGCTAATATAATAACCTTAGTCAGCATGGGCTATGCATTTCAAGTCATACATCTGATGTGTTGAGTAGGAATCTATATTTCTGTTAACCCTCCTTCCTCCTCTTTGAAAAGTGTTCCAAGGAAGCAGATAGGTCGAAAATTCATTGATAAGTTTCTTTCGACTTCTGCAGAGCGATGTAGTTCAGGGAAGGTAAACCCAAATGATTCAATGGGAACAGGTATAGATGATGATTGTGGTACCAAGAAGCCTCCAAAGAAGGGGAGAAAAATAAAGCTGACAAGTAATGGAAGTATCCTATTGCTTGACAAGAAACTGGTTGTTTTTATTTATTTTACTTATTGTCATGAATGCCTACATGATGCTAGTTGCATTCTTATCATCTTGATGTGGAATATTTTCCTTCTTATCCATTGTTTTTTAACTGGACCCTCCATGTTGTGAGGTTTGCTACCTTGACATCTGATAGATCAAAAGGTACATATAAAATTGAAAGCAAAGTCTCAATCTGAAAACAAGAACATTGCCAATGGTTTTGAGTTGGACAATGTACTTGCCAACAAAGTACAACCTATAGGTTCCACCATTGATCAAAGTAAGCACTACTTTCTTTCTCCTCCCTCTGGTCACAAACAAGTTTAATCTTTGACTCTTTGACATTGTCCTAGCCCAGAAAAAGTAATTTCGACCCTCAGTTGTATCACGCTAACATAGTAGTTTTAGCCTATCAAATAATGTTGTACTGTAATATTTCAGTATAGCTAATGTAAATATCCTTAAAGATGTTCAAATTTAAAATAGTCCTTCTGCATTTCTTCTATTTTTTACTTCAGGTAGTAGCCCAATCCTGCTATTGGTTGGCCAATAATTTATTATACCTTTTTGGTTGAATTCTTTCTAGAATGTTACTTTATTGTTAGTGTATCCATACCAAGAAATTTTGTTTTCTGACATTTATTTCGCTACATGATTGTTATAAATACGTGGTCCTATTACAGCTACCTGGAATCTATTAGATAAGGACCAGGGATGGTACGTAGGTGCTGCTTCCCTTGACCCTTGTATATATTTTTAATTGAACGATATAATTTGTGTGGCTTCTCAGTCAAAACCGCCCATTAGTTTATAGATGCGATTGGATTGTGGGTTTGTGGTAGAAGCCAAAACACTGCTGTATTTGGTTTTGTCATGTACTTATGCTAGGGCTTATTTGCATGTTTTTTCTTCTTTTGTTTATAGGGTTGAAATCATCTGCCAACAATCCAGCTCTCACCAGTGTACCTCAAGGTCACCATAGAGGTACAAATTGCTTCTCAGTAATGAAGCTGTTGATTTAGGCATGGATACTTTCATGATTTAGTCATTTTCTTTGTAGTGAGATACCATTTAAGTATTTAATTATTTCAGTGATCAGGGCTCCTATGCTGATGTTTTTCTAAAAACTTGGTTATTGCACAACGTTACTATTTTCTACAGAAGCAGTTTATATATTTCAAAAAACCTTAACTTGTCAGAAAGCTAACTGTTATATTTATATTCAGAATATGCTTGATATGCTGGGGTGGGGATTCAAAATCAAGTTCTCTAATGTGGTAGTAGTAATGTAGGGCATTTGGCATGCATGCAACATTGCCTGTAAAATTCTTGCCAAATTAAGTCATGCGGTATTCATGTGGCATGTATTTGGGTCCTATGCCTTGTCAGTTGAGGGTAGAACTTTGTCCTTTGGTGAATTAATGGAAATGGTACCCTGAAACACAAAAAGGGAAACATATTTTGTCCTTGGTAAAATACTGAAAGTAGTAGCCTGAAAGATAAGAAAGGAAAGCATATGTTTCCTGGTACATGGTGCAATTGTTTACCTACCATGTATTCACACAATTTGGACCAAATAAAACTCACTCCTTAACTTCAACAGCAGTAATTGTAAGGTTGATCTTCTATTCACCTGTGACTCTTATTGAGGTGCTTGTTTAATTATTAAAATCTTGTTTTTGCTTCCGTTTATTTTTCTTATTCAATTTCCATTTTGCTGTTGTATGTGATCCAACGGTGTTGTAATTCTCATTTAGTCTTTAACAGATGCCCCAGTTCCTCTTGCAACAAAAATGTACCACTCACAGGGAAACTACCGGCTTCGATTGGAACTCGGTCAGCTTTACCGCCAATCATGTTCAGAGCATTCAGGCAGCTATTCAATTCCGAACTCATCACAGGAGAATGGCTTGATGGTCTCGCATTTATCACCAAGAGATAATTCATCATTAAATGTTGCTCAGAAGAGCTTTGTTCCTCAAACAAAGGTGAAATGAAATGCCTCTTCCCTGCGAGCATGGAGTGTATCTGCATGTTCCTTACTGAAAAATGCATGTTCTTGTGATGCTTCTCAGTCTATGGACCAGCTTCTTGCGAGCACACCAGAATCATGCCCTGTAATCCCGCAGCAAGTAGCAGCAAGTGTGCCAAACCGACAAGCAACAAAATCTCAGAAAGCAGAGGTTCAAGTATCTGCAGTAAAAAACGAAATGGCAAGAAGCAGATGCAGCAAAGATGCTGTTCGGCATTCAAAAAACACAGGTAAGAAAATATCATTCTCCTGTAAGTGCTGATTAGATTCTTGAAACAGTTGCGGGTGATATCTATATATTTATGTAACTAGTATCAGTTTATGGCTATTATGTACCTGGTTACTATTTCTTAGTGCACTTCTATCTTATACCCTAAAAGCAATCTAGGAAAATGGATGACATTATGGAATTTACGATCCATCAGGTGAAGGAAAATGTATAGGGAACTTAGGTATTTCAAATATTATCAGTGAGCAGACTAAATAACAAACTCATATACTTTGGTTCTTCAATGAATTTTGTGTGAAGTCTTTTATTTTTCAGCGAAGGCTTCTACTCCCTCCGCATTTTAAGATTCAACTATCTAAATATTTGACCAATAAATAGTTTATTATAAATCAAATTTTATTTGATGAAAATAATATCATTAGATTATCATTTAAATTTACTTTCATATGATTATGATTTTGTTGCTACAAATGTTATAGTATATGAGAAATTTATTCTTGAAGATTATGCCAAGTTTGACCACGCCTTAGTGAATGGGACGGAAGGAGTATATCAGTACCTTTGTATGATGCATAGAAATTTCCTCAGGCAAAATGAGGCATGATCATTTTACCTAACTAGAATTTTCCATTATGTAGGTAATAAGAAGGCCCATCAGCAAAGAAACGGAACGGTACCTGTGATTAAATCCTCAGTAGACTAGCTCATTTAGTGGTATTTGACTTCAGCTCTATTTCCTGGGATTCAAGTGCGGCTCGTTACATAACACGATGTAAGCATTTCTTGATTGATTTGCTCGTCTATCTTTTGTGGTTTTCACAGGTAGATTGTTGGTGTAGCGGCTCCATCTGTGAAGAGTTGTTCTTTTCAAATGAAAAAACTGGTTCTCGGAATGATCTTGGATTGGACAATCTGATTACAGGGTCATTTTGGTATGTCCAAATCTCTTGAGTTCTGTTCAGGCAAGAGATTTACAGGCCCTCTTTGTTTAGGCTTATAAGCCAACTTATAAGTCGAAAAGTCTAAGCCAAAACAAACAAGCAGCTTTTTTATTTGGTTTTTTTGAAGCCATAAGCCACTCTAACACTATTAAGCCAAAAGCTAGGTTGGAGAAGCTTTTTTTGGCCTATATGAGATAAATGTATGATTCCACCACTAAACTTAGGACATTAAATCCACTGGCTTATAAATCATATAAGTCAATAAGCTGACTTAAAAGTCTAGGCCAATAAGCCTAAGCCTAAACAAAGAGGGCCACAATCTTTCATATTTAAGCTATTGACTGACTTGGTTTCATCTGTTTGTGCAGGTCCGTTAACTCTTGAGACATTGCTACTAACAACTTTTTTACTCCATCTCTGATGATGGAAATTACCTGTACATATCCCGGCTGCAAAGTCCTTTCTGCCCCCCTTGTTATAAATGACATGATGAACATTTTCAATATAGCTTTTGATCATTTCGAAACATTCCAAGTTTTCCTGTGCAAAATTCCTTTGGCTGCTGTTAAATGCGATAGCGTGAGCCGTCAGGTGATAGGGCAACATTACAGTACTATCTAGCATACATCATTGCACGTCAAACTTATTTGTAACAAACACAAGATTTTCAATTTGTAACAGAACGAAACATGACCTGGGAGGCTGAGGCGGATGAATTCTGTTGAATCTCTCATCAGATTCCATAATGAGGTTTGCACGAAACATAAAACATCACAAGCATAGCAGCCTGTGTTGCCAAAAATCACTTGCACATTCTTGGTTTGAAGTTCAAACTCCTAAAAAGCGTCAAGTTGCAAAACGAAGCTCAAATCCCATCCAATTCTAAATCTCTAATGCTGAAATTGCAAGGAAGTTTTGGATTGTAAGTATAATATTGGAGAAACAAAATGCGTGGCGATCAGTTCATGACGAGGCCGCGTCACGGAGTCACTCGATGCTGGCGATGTCCGCCTTGATCATCTCCGCGATGTCCGGCGCCGCGGCGGCCGCGGTGACCGTGACCATGGCCGCGCGGCCGCCGCCCGCCAGCGTCGCTGCCAGGACCTCCACGCCGCGCCGGTCGAACACCTCCAGCACGCGCGTCAGCGCGCCTGGCCGCCGCGCCGCCGGCAGCCGGGCGGCGAAGCAGACCGTCTCCCGGTACGACACGGACACCTCCTCGGCGGCGGCGGCGCCGCCAACCTGCACCGCCCGGTACGCCTCCAGCACGGCCACCGTGTCCTCCAGCACCTTCACCTGCTTCGCCGCCGCCTCCACGATCTCCTCCCTGCTCGCCTGCATCCACCCATCGACAAGATCAAACGACGATCTCCAAGAAACCGGAGGAAGACGACGACACGACGCGACCATCGCCGCCGTTCGCCAAGAAACCAAAGAAGAAGACGAGGCGACCGATCGACCATCGCCGCCGTTGGCCAAGAAACCTGAGAGAGAGAGAGAGGAGACGAACCCGGGAGCGGAGGCCGGGGAGCAGCGAGGCCAGCTCGGCGTAGAGCGCGGCCATGGTCGGCTGCTGCCGCCGACGCCGCGGCGGAGGCGGGCGCCGGAGCTCCTCCTCCTCCTCCTCCCCGAAATCCGCCGCCGGGCTCGGCGCCGCGCAGGCCAGCGACAGCTCCAGCCCGCGTCCTCCCGCCATGAGCGTCGTCAAAGATTATTCAACGAGTAGGAGGAGAAGCAGGGGCAGGTTTGGCTTTGGCGTTTTGGCTTGTGGTGCTCTGCAGCGCCATGTGAGCCGCTGCTACTGCTGCTGCTCAGGCGGCTCAGTAGAGAGAGGAGAGAGGGGAGGAGGTCGGCTTTTGGTGGTTGTCATGAAGCTGGAAATGGAAGCTGCAGGTGGGCTGGCCATGGCACCATTGGAGAGTGTGGCAATGGAGAGACCAAAAGAAGTTGCTATTTCGGGAAAAGGGTCTTCTCTTCCAAAAGAGACAAGACAAGGAGAGGCTCGGCTCAGGCTCTGTTCTCACCATGGCCATTGGTCCATTGGTTGCTGTTCTTTTCTTTCTTTCTTTTGTTTTTGCCTGCTGCAGTTTTGGCGTTTCAGCATTTGCTCACCTGTCAGGGCGTTCACAGTTACTCAATTTTGCTGGACCTCATCTGCTACATAGACCAAGAACTGTGTTAGCTAATGGAATAAGTTCACCGGTGGTCCCTAAAGTTAACAGCGAGATTTTTTTAAGATCTCTTAACCACAAAATCAGAAATGTGTATCCCTAAACTTATATAAACCGTGCACACAAGGTCCTATGATAGTATACATAGATGGTTTCGCTGACATGGTATCCTAGTCAGCAAAGAAAAATTAAAAAGAGTACGTGGGGCCCACATGTCAGCTGCACGTCTCTTTCCTTTTCCTTCTCTCCTCTTTTCTCTCTTCTTTCCTCCCTTCTTCGGGCTGGCGGCGGGCAGAATCGGCGAGCGCCGATGAGAGCGGCGGGCGACCGCGGCAACGAGCTGCGGGCGGAGCGGACGGTGGGCGAGTGGAACGCCACGGTCCAACACGCTAGCAGTGACGCCCCCGCCATGGCCGCCGCGACCAGGCACGCATCGACGGCGCCGGCGCCGACCACCTTGCTGCCACGGGCGCCTGCCGCCACCTTCGGCTTCTCGTCGTCGTCCATGCCATGTACGTGGAATTAATGGTGACAGGAAGAAAGAGATCGAGGAGATAGATAGCGAATTGGGAAGCGAGAGGAATGAATTGAAGGTGGTCAATGGCGGGTTATTAGCTCTGCTTCCTGTATATAGTCTTGTACTGGTGTTGGTGTGATGTGATGGTTTACGTTATTGCCGTCGGTGGTCTGTGTCTTGCCGTAGTGGTGTTCGCGACGGCCGGAGTAGGCCGGCGGGGGTGGGCTGCGTGGGGGTGCAAGAGACCAGGGCAGAGCTCGAGTCTGGGGGAGGATGGCGCGGCGGACGAGCTGAAGGAGCAGCTACAGGGCGCGCTCCAGGAGAACGGGCAGCTGAAGCGCGAGCTGCAGCAGTACACCTCCGAGAAGAAGGCCTCGGCGAAGACGACGGACGCCGCCGACGCGGCGGCGGAGCAGGCCGAGCAGTGGAGGAAGGCCACCGAGACCGCCATGGCTGCGGCGGCGGTTTAGGGTTTACGGCAGTCCGTGCCGCGAGCGCGCTCCGCCCGTTGCCTCCGCTCCGCCGCTGCGCTCGCTCGCCGTCCGCTCCGCCCGCCGCCGCCGCCGCCGCTCCGCTGCCTCTGCTCCGCCGCCGCGCTTGCCCGCCGTCTGCTCCGCCCGCAGCCCGCCGCCGCTCTGCTACTGCGCTCACCCATCGCCCACATCGGCGCTCGCCGATTCCGCCCACCGCCGGCTCGAAGAAGGGGGAGAGAAGAGAGAAAAGAGAAGAAAAGGAAAAGGAAAGAGATGTGCAGCTGATATGTGGGCCCCACGCACTTTTTTAATTTGTTTTGTAACTAGGATGTCAACGTCAGCGAAACCACACATATGTATACTGTCAAAGGACCTTGTGTGCACGGTTTATGTAAGTTTAGAGATATATATTTCTGATCTTGTGGTTGAGGGAATTCAAAAAATCTCGCTGTTAAGTTGAAGGACCACCGGTGAACTTATTCCTAGCTATATAGCCTATATGTTGCACAGTGCAAGTTGTTTATAGTGGGTCCTACCAATACCACCTTTTACATCTTTTCACTTTTTCATGGCCCCCCCCCCCCTCTCTCCTATCTCTCTTTCCCAACCGAAGAGAATCGGGTAGCGGGCGAAGAAGCGGCGAGGACGTCTGGCAGAGCGGCAGCCCGAGCGGTGATGGAGCCAGGCGGAGCAGCGGCGGCCCGAGCAGCAATGGAGCCAGGCGGAGCAGCGGCAACGACGCTAGGCGGAGCAGCGGCGACAGCGCCGAGTGGAGCAGGAGCAGGGCGGCCAAATCCAGCCTAGGCTCACTGGATCTGGCAGCGGGCGACGGCGGCTCGCCGGATCTCCTTCTCCTCAGCTCGCCAGCGCCAAATCCCTCTCCCCTCTCCTCGTCGGCGTCTACTGTTTTGTGCAACGACGACGAGCATTGGCCCTTGTCTCCTCCTCCGTCCGGCGGCCCTCCTCCCCTGGTCGTCGCCTCACATGGGAGTAGACGAATCCCTAGCAATTCCCTAATAAATCTGATGATGAACGAGTGTCACATTTAGACTCCGCGTTCTTCATTGGTCATGGTAGCGTCCGATATAGAGGGGAATCTTGGTTGGGGCTGGGTGAGGCTGAATGCCAGCTATGCGCATTGTGAACGCCCTCAGGCTGTCACCTCTACTAGACTACTACTACTCACAACAGGCCTGTTTCTTATTGCCACTGTGGATGAAAAGATGGTAATTGAGATTTTTACACCAAACATATGAGTTTATAACAAATTATTGTATGGCGCAGATGAATAAATTAAATATTAGTAAATTAAAAATAGGTTTGACGATACTGATGCCTCCATTGGTTGGAATCAGTAAACCAGTTAAAATTTGAATTTTTAAACTTAATTTTAAAGTTTATTTTAAGATATTTTAAATATAGTTTTTTCAGGATTAGCTTTTAAGCTGCCAAGAATAACTATATAAAAGTTTTACTAATAAAATAATTTTTATTACCTAATAAGCTAAAATGGAGAATATAGGCAACCGGTAAGGTTAGGAGAAGAATTTTTTTAGAAAAATATGTTTCAGATTATAAGTTATTTTGAACTTTTTCCTAGTCAAACCTTTTAGATTGATCTTTTTTTTTAAAAAATAGCAACATATATAACATCAAATTAGTTTTATTAAATATAGAGTAACATTGAATATATTTTGATAATATGTTTGTTTTGTGTTAAAATTATTTTTATATTTTTTATAAATGTAATTGATAAAAAAATTGATTAGGAAAAAAGTTAAGTAACTTATAATATAAAACGGGGAAGTATATTGTTTAAAAGCTGAAGAAGCATGTCGGTGATAATCCAAGCCAAAAGTATTAAGCCTCTTAACAAGAGATTACTACTATCCGTCGGTGGCCTCTAGTCTCCACTGTCAGAGGCTTTGACCAAAAGTGTTGACAAGATGTTGTTGCCACCGTAGCTCACTTGCTCAGAACTGATAGGGAGCACCTTTTATAGAAGAGTAACGCTCCGGTGCATTCTACTTGGAGCATTCTATTGCAAGTAGAATTAATCTTGACCGTTTATTTTAAAAGGTAGATTAGTAATTTCTTAATACAGCTCAGGGTTAATTTTGGCATGGGATTATTTCTTTTTCTCATCTTTTCGCCTTAGGTCCGACAAAAGGCATATCGCCCGCGCCCCCGACGCAGGCACCGCTTCAGTCATAGCAGGCGGCGACGCGGCGAAAATCGCCGTCGGCTCTAGATCCGGATCACCGGCGGACCTCCTCCTCCGGCCCACACCTCCGCCGCCGCTCCGCCCGCCCATCTACTCCACCGGCGGCTTGCCGACCCGACCCCCCCTCCCCCAAAGCCCCTAACGCAGGCACCGCATCAGTCATCGCAGGTGGCGGCGCGGCGAAAATTGCCATCGGCGCTGCCAGCGTCAGGTCCGACGCAAAAGCTCCCGACTCGCAGGCACCGCATCATCGCATCTGGTTGTTGTATTCTCTGATTTAGCCTTAACCTTGTGCTATGGTGCTGTGTGTATGCATGGTTAAATTCTTCTCGATAAGCCTGAAGTATGTAGTGTTCCTTTTGGATATTATGGCTTCACTGCTTATTGAATAGCCTTCTTTGCAATCTTCATTTCTTTTGTTAACCAAAATAGGGTGATGTGCGTATGTATGATGTGGAAATATTACCTCAATACGTGGCTTGCTTTGGATTCTGAATTTACTGTTGTTGCATAACTGATAACCACTTTTTTCTCTGCTTTGCATTCAGGTACTGCCCATGCTGCAAAAAGCATCAACAAGCGATGAAGAAATTAGATCTGTGGAGGCTACCGGAAGTTCTGGTCATTCATCTCAAAAGGTTCTCGTACACCCAATTCACAAGAAATAAGCTTGAGACTATCTTTTTCAATGTCTTGATAACGAGCAAGGCTGGTTGGTTTCTACAGCATGAAGAAGGGAAGGGATGGTAAGTTTGATGATGAGTGCGTGAGACCTATAACTGAAGACAGTATAAAGACACCTGCTGCTTATGTGCTGTTCTACACACGAGAATGATCAGGATACAGCTGCAATACATCAAATATTTTTTCGGGATGTTTTGCCAAGTCTAGATCTCAAGTCAATAACCTATACAACAGCATGTACAGATTCAATTGCCGACAAGAGAACAAAAGACCTAGCTAATGAACTATTCTTTTCCAGATTCTTTTTGTACATGGCTTGGGGGTCCTACAATGTAATAGCCTGCTAGTGATTAGCCTTGGTTCTACAAAATTCTTTTTGTCAACGAATTGTTGCGAATAATTTTAAAACGATGTAACCTCTCCTTTTAAATTAACTCGTATGATCGATCTGTTCCTGTCGCGAGTGCGACGCCATAGCTACTCCTGTGTTGCTCCATCCATGAATGGCTATTTGCCAATTCCTGAGTCAGATGGCACTGACATGATGATCATTGAAGGTCTGAAATCCCCATTCTGTAGCTTTGCTTTATGGACCAGGAAAATATATCCATGATGATTTCTGATTCCGTCCTATCTCCAGAACTCTGCTGTTTGACAAATAACAGAAGATTATTGCTGCCCTCAGTTCTGTTTGGCCTGATTGCCTTGGACAAATATTCTGACATATCTCAAGAACATCTTTTCTGCCTACACATATCACAGGACCAGACCAGGTTGGATGGGCATCAGAGCTTTATGTGCAACAGTATGTTGATTGCAATTGTTATAAATAAGAACAATAAAAAAATAAGTCTAACTACTCATTAAAAACATCCCATACCAGAGTTTGATTAAAATCATCTAAATGTCTAACTACTCATCTGTCATCTTATATCATTGACAAGAGTGAACTATCAGACTGCCACTATCGCTTCCTTCTAAACCCATCAATTCGTTCCTGTGTAAAACCTTTGTCTAGCCGATCCCCATTCCAGTGCTCCATACACTTGAGCATAAATAAGCCAGAAGACGGACGGCGATGAAGGGAGCGGAGAAGGCGGTGAGGGCTGGGGAGACGGACGGCGACGGAGGGGCGCGGAGAAGGCGACGCGGCCGGGGGAGACGGACGGCGACGAAGGAGGCGACGGAGGCGGCGAGGGCGGGGGAGGCGGACAGTGATGGAGGGGGGCGGAGAAGGCGACGCGGGCGGGGAAGACGGACGGCGACGGAGGAGGCGGAGAAGGCGGCGAGGCCGGGTGAGGCGACGGCGCTGGAGGGGAAGGAGATGCCGATGGCGCTAGAGGCGACGAGGGAGATGGACGGCGACGGAGTCGGGGATGGAGGGGAACTGGCAACAGAGAGGGATGATGGGGAATGACGTCGTCGATTAACATAGGATAGAGGGATAGAGGGAGGGTGAAGAGCTAGATAAAGACAAATTACGATAATATCCATACTCGAATTTTTACCTCTAGACAAATATACCCCTCCATATTTCTACTCCTATAAAATCTAGTGGGAGTATAACTACATCTCAACCCTACGATTAAATATGATCAACGGTTCGGATTAATTTCTACTACAAGTAGAAAGCACCGGAGTGGGACTCTTTATAGAAAACTCTTTTTTTTAAGGGAGAATTGCATATTTGCCACTACTTTCACTCCTTAACTCGAAATAACCATTATAAAATCACGAATTGCAAATATACCACCAAAAGCAGTGTGCGTGGATTCCGTATGCCATCACCGTTCCATTCCGTATGAGTAAGATGACAAAATTAATTGATGTAATTAAATTAAAAAACAAGGCAACGCGATAAGACCATATTGCCCTTGCCAGATTCAACCTTATCCGTGTTCTTCCCCAACTCTACCGCATCAGAACTCCTCCTCTCCTCTCGCACGACGAACCCTAAACCCCAGATCCTCTCATCCCTTCTCTCAAACTAGGAGCAAATCAACCAAAAATCGGTCGCTTTGAAGTATTAGATGCCAATGGAAGAGGTGCAGATGGATTTCGGCGAGTAGAGCAAGTCAAGCAGCAGCTTGGGGCGACGGCTGCAGCGGGCGGCATCAGGCTGCGGTGCTTGCGGCGGCTTGGGGCGGCACCTGCAGCGGGCGGCGTCAGGCTGCGGCGCGGCTACCTCGCTTGCGGCGGCTCCGTCGGGCGGCGTCAGGTTGCAGCGCGCGGCCGCGGCACGCGGCTGCAGCGAGTGTCGGCATCGACGGCAGGCTGCAGCATCAGCTGCTTCAAGCAGCATGGTGGCTACTGTGGGCAGTAGCAGCAGGACCACCATGGAAAGGTATATAATCTATACTTATGCTTGTGACCTACTTGTTCTATCTATCATGTAGGGATGTTACCAACAATATATGTGTGTGTTTTGAGGAATTCTTTTTGAATGTTTTTAATCCTTGTTCAACTGGTTCAAGAGTCCGAATTTGCTGGTTTGCTATGCAACCTTAGCATGTGCATAGCTAACCATATCTTGCTTGCGTATCTTCAGGATATAATCAAGCATTAGCAATATCTCTTTGTGTGAATATGCTGTGCATTGTAATTAAACAACGGCCTCTCCACCTTAGGTGCTTATTTGAATTAATAGATAGTGAGTTTAATAAATTAATCATCAAACAATGGTAGCATGAAGTAATATAAGAAAGTAGCCATATGTTTACAACTTTGTTAAAAGTAGTTTAAGCTGGATATGTTTTTACATTGGTATGATATTTCTGTTAGATAGGTCTTCCATGCATTAGTTATTCAGTCCCTGTATATTTAGATGTAGGTTTTTCATCTATTCCTCGTTGAGCTGCTAGAATATTTCTCCATTGTTTTACTTATCCTGTAGGAATGACCAAGGCTTCTTGACAGCCATTATTAAGGTTGAGTCTTATTTTACCACATCGCTTTTGAGTCAAAGGACATATGTTAAGGGAAACAATGTCAAAATTTCGATCGAAAGGGATAGGTATTCGATGCTTGCGCTAGTTGACGATGTAGGGGAAAATTTTAACTGGGGGCCAAATCAATACATCAGCTTTTGGAAATTGGGTGA